AAATTCATTGGTGCTCATGAAACTTCAAACCATTTGAGCAGAGGGCTCTGGAAAATAACATGGCTGGAATTGTGCTAATGAACACATAACTCTGGTGCCAAATGATATCTGCTGTGGAATTTGAAGAGTCAGAACTTCCAGCTTAACATGACTTTGGAGAAAAATGTAAAAAGTGTGGGTGGTTTCCCCGTTAAATATTTGGAGCAGGGCTTTCTGTGACAAGGAAATGCTCCCCACCCAGTGTGACTTTTCTCCCATTCTCTTCATCCTTCGATCTGTTTAACTGCCTCCCCTGCTCCTGGTCAGCCTCCTCCTTTGAAGAGTGCTAGATAATGCTTTCAATATGCCATGATCTGTAGCCAAGGTTTGCTGATCAGGGTTTGTTGTAGCGAAAGGAACCAGGATCCCGGGTTCAGATGTAACACTCAGCCTGATATCATTGTTTGTTTCCTCCCAGTGCAAATATGATCGTGGTAGAATGTTATCTCTCGTTTATCACAGGGATGGGGTATCTCAGGCCCAGGAACCCACTGTGGCCCTCCAGGTCTCTCCATCTGATCCTTGGAGCTCTCCAAAGGCCACACCCCCTATTCTCAGGCCACACCCCTCACTGGCCCTGCTTTACATCCTGCCTGGCTGGAACTCATCCTTGAACTCTGATAATGCCTCTCACTTGCCTAGGTGGAGGTTAGAGAGATGCTTGTGTGTAGAAAATAGCCTATAGCGCAAGGGTAAAATTTACATTAGTTGCTCTGCTTCCTTTTGTCCCCAACTCCACCCTACTGTTCTGTGGTCTCTGGAAGGTTCCTCACCTCTGGTTTACCATGGTGTCCAATTGAGGCCTTTATCTATCTATGCCTGCCAAATATAATATTCTTATTCTTAATTAAAACTGACGTTGTGCTGCAAATCAGTGGGTGTTCCTGGTCTTTGATTGCTTGGAAAACAAGACTTATCCCATCTCTGCTAGCAACCCACATAGCTGTGAAAAAATATGTCAGAATGTGGGTGTGAGGCACCTACCATCTTGTTCTGGTGATTAATCTTGCTAGCCCATAAACTAGAGAAATTCTATATTTGGTTTCAAGTTCCATTCTGTTCCTCATTCCAGGCGAGGGAACTAAAGTCAATGGAAGGCATGTCTAGAAAAACTCTATGCCACTTTCTCTCCACCTTAGCTGACACCTGAGTTTTCACCTACCCATTTTGAAAACATGTCTAATAATTCCACGCTGTAAAGAAATCATTGTGAAAAGCTGAAACACAAATATATATGAAAGATTAATATGTCCAAGCTTCTTTTTGCGCAGGTGCCTCTATGGGTCTACTCTGGTTGGAAAAGTGTTCAAATTTATCTGAGTGAGGGCCAAGCCAGAAGAGGCACTAGAGATCCACGATTGGACCTTCTGACCTTTTATTTCAGAACATTAGAAGAGCTTGTTAGATCCATCCAAACGCCCATCTGGTGAGAAAGCATTTTGTTATAGTCCGATGTTCAGTACAGTTTTTATACGTTCCATATGTTGGGTTTATTTTATCAAGTTTACTAATCACATCCTTATTATTTATGACTACCTAATTTGTTATACTAAATTCTTCTTAGCAGATACTTGTTAACATGCATAGGATTTCAGGTTTTATCCCAACTTGTTTCATAATTGCCTTGCGTGTTGGGGTAGAATTCCCGTTTGCTCAAGTAAGTCCCAAAACAGGATAGGAGCGCAATAGCACTCTGCCTTCCTGGGATTCCCAGCAAATAATAATAATAATAATAATAATAATAATAATAATAATACAGTGGTACCTCGAGTTAAGAACTTAATTCGTTCTGGAGGTGCGTTCTTAACCTGAAACTGTTCTTAACCTGAGGTACCACTTTAGCTAATGGGGCCTCCCGCTGCTGCCGCACGATTTCTGTTCTCATGCTGAAGCAAAGTTCTTAACCTGAGGTACTATTTCTGGGTTAGCAGAGTCTGTAACCTGAAGCGTCTGTAACCTGAGGTACCACTGTAATGGCATTCAGGAGCATACAGCCTCCAATGGTGAAGGTAGAGTATAGCCATCCTGGCTAGTATTCATAGATAGTCTAATCCTGCAGGAGCCAGGGACGTGTGTCTGTTTCTGTAATGCTTTCCTCCTTTAGCCATTTCCTTAATCTACACCCCCTTGCTCCCCGCTGCTACTTGCCTTGACTTGGACAACATACAAGTACCATTATACTTAATGGAATAAAGCAGCTTCAGAGGGCTGTTTAGTATTGGAAAGCAATATAGGGGTTAAGGGCTAACTCCCTGTTCCCTTGCACTGTGACCCTGATCCAACTAAGATGCTGCTTTCAAATGAGAAAGGGAAAGACAGGGGACCCCGTTAAACATCTCCCTGCTGGAGTTCCCCCTTTGCCCTCTAAGAAACTGAGCAACAAATTCCTCTGGCCACTAGGTGGAGTAAAAGGGCAGCTGAGGCTTTGCGCTGAAATTTCTTTAACTGTTTTGCGATTATAATTAAATAGATTTGAGCCCTTCACTTAATTGGAGCATGCTCTTTGGAATCTCAAAGGAGCTCTATGTGTGTTAGCCTTAAATACTAGCAAAGGACTGGCTCTTCTCCACCATGTCGTTTTCACAAGAGTAAAGGGTATTAGTCTTGACATGCTGGCCTGATTCCAGAGTAGGTAATTGCAGCCTATTCAGCCTTTTTAAATCCCCCTTGTGGTTTCAATGGGATTTGCTGTCCTTTCCTTCTTACACTGGTAGCAGAGCATTCTGGCATCTGTGCTCTGCCTGTGACTAAAGAGATGCTTGCATTTGAGGGGCGGGCAAAACAATGCCCCACCATGAGTGGTTTTTCATAGGACTTGCTTATTTATTTATAGATCTGGATTTTGCTCTCAATGGAACTAAGCCCAAGTGTTTTTGTTTCAAAGGACGGATTAAAGTTGATCCTCGCTTTCGTTGTGTGTGTTCCCCACACTGCTCCCTCAAATTCATGTATGTGTGTGTGTGTTTTTATTCGTTTATTTTTTTAAAGCATTCATCTTAGGAAGACAGGGTGCTATTAATGGCTATGGTTTTTAACAATTGCTTCTGAGGTGTGTACAGAAGCCCAAAGCTGTATTGCCATGAAATAGCGTGACATCAGGCATGTATTATCTTAAGCCTGGGATCTAATCCAGATGTTCCAAACTAGTTTTGCAGGAACAATTTCATCCTTGCATTTAATTAGGTCTGTAATTATTTCTGGTACACATGTCTGTGTTAAGACATGTTAGCTGCTTCCTTCCTCTTGCAAGTCAGAGATCTTGCCTACATTCTAGCATCCAAATGCAGAGGCCTAATAGGTGCATTTGTAGCAATGTGCCCTTTTAGGGCCTGTCCACACAACCGCTTGGCCCAAAGTGTTGAGATCAAGCCCTTTGCCCTACTCACATTGTGCCTATGGGAGCAATGACACTCTTGAGTTTTTCCCCCATCACCCACCTGCCTGCAACTCAGCCTTGACAATTATGGACAAATCTCCCAAATTATGAGCAAGCCACGAAGGAAAGATTCAATTGGTGACACACGAAGCATGCTGTTGTGCATTTCTGCCCTGTCAAGGGATCTTCCCAGCCAAAGGAATGCACATGGCACATAAAAGAAAACACTTGCAGCCATTTCTGCAGCTCTGGGTTCCTATGCACATCAATCTAGCATCTAATCAGCTATTCCCAGGTATTGTGCTCTATGGAGCAGTTGCAGCAACAGAGGACCATCCCCCCTCCACCTGTTTATGTATTTTCCCCTGGCAGGTTGTACGTACGCAGCCAGAGGCTGTGCCTGCATGGAAGCTTCCTCCGCTCATCCCTTTTCAGTCCTTTCCTGGTTCAGGGAGACAGCGGTGCAGGAGAGGGTGGGGAAGCACCAGCCGCTTCACTTGCCTGACCTGCCTTTTCCACCTCTTCTTTTGACCCACCCTGTGCTCCAGCCTCTAGCTCTGAAGCTTCCCAGCCTCCAACTCTTCTCTTCTGGCTGGTACAGTCCCCCCCCATCACTGCCCCCCTCTCCCAAGTCAGACTCCTGCCCCTCTTTCCCCAGTGCACACTCGTCAGCATCCTGCCAGTCCCTGACATGCACTGAGTTGAGAGGGCAAGAACACGTGGACATGCCCCAAGTGTAAGGATAAGTGAATCTATCCATTTTAGTTTCCTTCTGTTTCTCATTTTCCCAGTCTTCAGCTCAGTTCTCCATATTTCTGTATCCATTCATAAATATATATGTATTAGTCGTTATGAAACTTCACCAGCATTTTAGCGCAGATTTCTCCTAATATATATCTTTGTGAGGAATTTTGCTTAATGTGCGTATTTTGCAAAGCATTTCCCCAATATAATGCATTTCTGTTTGTTCTTTTTCACTAACATGTACATTTTTATACATAGTTAACTGTAGCATATGCACTTTTATAAGCATTATTTATCTAGAGAACTGCATTGCAAACTTTGGAGAAGCGTGAATTTCACAAGGTGGCTGCATTTCTGTCAGTATATTGCTTCAGAAAGTGTGAATTTAAGTGTGGACTGAATCAAATTTCTCCCCTAGTCCCACACAAATGGATGATTTGGCTGCTGAAACCCACTTTAGCAGGTGTTGGGCATGCTTCTTGGTCAGGTATGCTCAGGTATCGAGACAGAGGTTGACCCGCACTGAGCACATCTGCTCAGCCTCCCTCATGTCTGTCTCTGGCATGAAATTCCACACATGCCTTTTATTTAGGAAAGAACACAAGCATATGTTATCTTACTCCTCTGGAATTTTACAGTTCCTTAGCATGTTAGTTTAGCCATAATTGGCTTGCAGGGTCTCTTGAAATGTATCTCTCGACACAAAGTTCTCCTTTCCATCAAGCTTGAGGGCTGGTTCATTTCTCCAGCATTGAATGCTGAGCATTAGATTGCAAACGTACCTAATCCATCTCTCCTCCCCCATGACTAGAAATCCTGTGGTTAAAATAACACAGCCTCTATTCAGAGCACAAACTTAGAGTCGCTAGCCAAAGTGGGATTGAAAGAACTCTCAGCAGGCGGGTCTGCGTTAGGGTGGCTTTTTAAAAATCCTGCTTCTTCCGATCCATGAGAGGAAAGCAAGGTGTCTCCTCTTTGCATTCAAGGTAATGATTTTCTGGGCTGTGTGTGTGAGAGAGAGTGTTGCTGTCTATGTGTGTGTGAATGTGGCCACAAAACTGCTGTTGCTATTATGAGAAGCATTTAGTGGCAAAGGCTTTGAACTGTTCACAGCTGGTCTTGTGGCTATTTCTGTACATGCAACCTGAGTGAAATTATCCCAGTGCTCTGAGCAGATAGTAGCAAACCAGCACTCCTGTGTCACATGGAGAAGAGGGCAATGTGTTTAGAAAACTGTTTGTGGGTCTTGGGACCTCAATGGCACAACTGGATGTTGCTGCTGTGGAGTTGATCTGATGTAGTAACGCTCCACTCCCGGGCTGGTTTTGTTTGGTTGAATATTCAGCACAGTCTCTCTCCAGGTCTCTCGGTGTAATCCCTATGCCAAAGGCTAAAGCTGTGCCTGACTTGGATCGCACTAGCTGTGTTTACAGTGTATGTCTTAATGCTGTTATAGTAACCACAAGACTGCCCTGTGTTCCAGAGTATTTCTTTAATGCAGCCTTGCCAGATAATTAAGCACCTCTCTGTCTGCTGGGTTCCTTTCAAAGGCACAGTGAGGGTTTGCTTCTGGTGAAAACCTCTTTTATGCCGAAATGCAAATAACAAAGCAGCTCTGCAAAATGCTGGATTAAGAGAACTCTCCACATAGTACTCTGTTATGCAAACAGTACCTGCTCCTTCCTCCTCTCCGTGCTGTGAAGATAATCAGAGGGGAATCTCAAACCACATTCTGGTTCAAGATTGGCAATCAGTGATCACCATTAAAAACAACAACAACCAAAACTGAAAGAAAGGGAATTGCTTTGTGGGCTCCCTCATAGGTGCCATATGCTTAGACACCTGCATGGGGGCTAATAATAATAATAATAATTTATTATTTATACCCCACCCATCTGGCTGGGTTTCCCCAGCCACTCTGGACGGCTTCCAACAGAACATTAAAATACAATAGTCTCATTTATACAAATGCACTGTCTCGTTTATACAAATGAGACTGGCCCAATGCCATGACTGTTTGGAGATTTAAACCCTAGTCTCCCAGGTCCTGGTCCAGTACTCTAACCACTACACCACATTGAGTCTTAGTATGTGTGGAGATGCAGTGCAGGCAATGCACATATGTGATGCACATCATTTTCCTGCATGCTGAAAAAGATCGTGTGTTTGCACATGTTGGCCCTCAGGATTATAGCCAGGCCCTTCCTGGGCCAAACGCCTCCATGGATTGCTGCAGACACTCATTGAGTGCTTCTGCCTGGCTGGAATGTGTCCTTGAACTGTGATGCCTCTGGCTTGGAGATACGTGTATGTATATGTGTGTGTAAACCTCTAAAGCTTGCACTGCTAGAATATAGCCTACTGTACAATGCACATTCATTGCTCCGCCCACTTTTGCCTCTTGCCCTCCCCACCATTGGCATGTGGCTCCTGGCTGGTTGACCACAAGGTAATGTGGCCCATCAGATTAAAAAAGGTTCCCTACCTCTGTGGTACAAACATATATCTCCCTCCCTTTAAAATACACACTTGTATGTATTTAGAAATGTTAGGTGCCTGTCTTCAGTGTCACTGTTTTTATGAGACTCGTGGTTGATGAAGGATGCAAGGCTCCCATTTGCCTGAGAATGGGTAGCATGGCTGTGAAGCAAGCCAGTAGTTCTGGCAGAGGTATGCACATCCCCAGTGGTGGTTGGTGCTCATTGAGGCTAGTGGGGCAGAAGGCAGAGAGCCAACAGCAGTAGCTGGAGCCAGAGCCAGTGGCAGAGGCAACTAATTCTAGCTTGGTCCCCACGTAAAGAGTCTAAAAAGGAGGAAGAAGCTGACAGCCAGGGCCACCCCCTGGACTAGATTTAAGTAAGACGGCAGGCAGGTGTGGGCTGGCTGACAGCCACAGGTGGATTTAGGGGAGTGCAACTGGTTCAATCACACTCAGTGCAGAGCATTATAGTGGGCTAGGAGAGCTGAAAATAATGCCAATATATTTAACGTCTGGCAACCAATGGTTTCAGATAGTATATGGGTCTAAAAAGCCCAGGACACAAAATCGGCTATGTTGGCTCTGTAGCAGAAGTAATGTATTTAGCATTAACTCTGGAAAACATATACTTGATTCTGACCAATCGTAGAACATAGGAGGCTTAGTTTGGTCAGAATTGAGCACACACTTCCATCAATGAGTATACCCTTCCTTACAATGATGGAAGCTGCCATCATTGCAGTGTTTCACAGGTGCCGCCACACTACCCATATAAAGGAGGCTGCAGTGGCCAAGTGGCAGGGCAGCACCTTCCGTTTTGCCCCAGGTGGCAAAATGGGACGTGCCACCCCTGCTTCATGATGATGGTACTTCTTTTTGTTGCATTGAGAGAGATGCTGCCCTAGGGTTTCCCACTTTTGTGGCATGTAAGTCAGGTTGCTCTGAATACAGACGGCCACTTCGTAATCACACTCTATTTTTGGTAAGAGCTGCATGAAAGATGCAAAGCTGATGTGTTCAGAACAAAGAAATGTGGTTGCGTTTCAATATAGAAAGTCCAGCTGATGTCATTTTAACTCCACACAATAGTGCCAAGAATTTTCTAAGTTCCATATCAAGACTTAGTTTAAAACACACACACACTGAAAGCGTTTGCTCATGTGGAAAAATGAACTTTTGTGGAAAATATTTATGGGAATCTGCCAGAGAAGTATGTTAGCCCTTTTAAAATGGACTTGAATTACATATATAGAAAAACAAGGCACTTATGTGATCTTGCTTTCCAGATTGTTTGCAAAACCTTGGTTTTTCAAATATCTTACAGCCTTAATTTGCATTTCTTTTTTAAAAAAAATGAAAGTGGCACATGTTGTGTGCATTCATTCTTCTGGAACTGTGGAGTCATTCTTCATAACTGGGTCCTCCTTTAGAAAATGGAGCTTCCTGGGTTTAGACCAGAGGAAGGATAGTGTCACCACTGGAATAGGATGGGGATGAGCTTGGGTGGCTCTGGGCTTAGCTCAAAGTGTTAGCTGAGAGTATCAGGGAATGGGAGCACTCCACTCACAGAGCCATAGCTCTTTTTTAAAAAACCACCACCACCACCAAGAAGCAGCTTATCATCGTCACTCTGGAAAAGCAAGTGGCAGATTTGTTAGCCCTTGCAAATTTTAATTCTGTAACATAACAGCCTGCTGGATCAGGCCAATGGCCCATCTAGCATCCTGTTCTCACAGGGGCAAACCAGATACCTGTGTGTAACCTGCAAGCAGAATTTGAGCACAAGAGCACTCTCCCTTCCTGTAGCTTCCAGCAACTGGTACAGTCATACCTCGGGATAAATACGCTTCAGGTTGAGCGCTTTCGGGTTGTGCTCTGCGGCGACCCAGAAGTAACGGAGCGCATTACTTCCGGGTTTCACCGCTCGCTCATTCACAGATGGTCAAAATGACGTCACACGCATGCACAGAAACGGCAAAACGCGCTGTCGCATCTTACGTTCTGTTCAGGATGCGAACGGGGCTCCGGAATGGATCCTGTTCGCATTCCAAGGTACCACTGTATGTAGAAGTATTTCTGCCTCCCATGGTGGATTAAAATGTTTTCTGCTCTGCAGGGCTGATGTGTGCTGCAAACAAACTGAAAGAACTCTCTCAGGTCCTCTGAGATGATGATGAAAGGGCTAGAAGCAGGTCAGGTCTCTTGTCCAGAATACACACAGATAACCAGAGTGAGTCCTATGCAGAAATAGAATCAGCATGGCTGGGTATTTGCCAAGTGCCTTTACCCCAGCCAGGCAGCCACTGACATGAATCTCCTGCACCTGCTCTTTCACATCACCACTGCAACCTCCTTGTTCATGCATCTCTTGCTCTGCCCCAAACTATGGAGTATTAGCCAAAAAAGGACCAGGAGATGCTGACAGCTCCTTCTTTGGCTCCCTATGTAGCAGGCAAATGGGTGCTACAAGGATGCGGAAAAGGAGCAGGACAGCAGGTAATGGTGGTGGTGAAGAGAAAGGCTTATGCTGGGAGGGGGAACCTTGGGGTCTACGATTCCATGATTCTATGATTCTAGTATTAAAATGCCATTTTCTGATGCAGCTTTTTAATGTATTTTCCTCTCAAGGCTTTCCTCCATCGAGGAAAGAGTTAATTGAAATTGGCAGTTAGATCCAAGCCAACTGGAATCAGTGGGACACCCATCAGGTTCAATATAAATACCTTGACAGTCAGGGAGTTACAGGCTGGGCAGTTAGACACATTTTCCCTCCGTTTAATTTCTGATGGAGAAAGGGTTCTTCACCGGAATCGACAATACAGGCACATTAGCCTCATAGGGATGCTTATAGCCACTGGCCTAGTCATCCCTCATGTTCAGCCAAGCATCTTGTGATTATGTCAGTGCCGATTATTCCAGCTTTTCGTCTCTGCACTTGCAGCGTCTACTGGAAGATCTGTGAGCTCAGAATAATCTAGCTAAACAAAGGGGATGTCCTGCGCAAAGAGCTTCAGGCTTTATACAGCTGTGGTTGTGCATTCTCCACTGGACATGTGCAAAAGAAGCTGGTGAGAATACTCAGGATTCATTTGCACTTGTGATTCACTTATACTCAGGGATCATTCAATACTAGGGTGTGACGAGGCACCAGAAGTCTTAAACAGGGACCCCAGTATGCCCGGCACTGGTTTTCTACTCTCTATACTGCCAGGCTGCTGGCTGGGAAAGGAAATTGCAGCTGGTTAGAGATAGGACAGCAGTTGAGATGTTTTCATCGAAAGCAATATCTTCATAATCACCAGTAGTAATAATAATAATAATAATAATACGGATCAGAATCCTCCTGGCTATCAAGTGGTGCTTGAGAGGGACTCTCCCAGGACCAGAGGTTCCCCACCCTTGCACCCTTGTTTCCACATTACCTGCCTGCTTCCTCACCTGCTCTAGGTTTTTTTATGAGTACTTGGACCTCAGTTCCTGACAGAGAATATTTTGTCAGAGATTTGAGATGCCTAATTCTTAATGACTTTCACCAGGCCAAAGCCTCTAGATTATGATGCTGAGCAAGTCCCACCAAAATGAGATTCTGTGCTTTGGTAGCTTGTTTTTCATTTCATTTCGTTTTTTAAAAAAAGCTGTTGAAATTGTCAAGCTGTATATTCTCGAATCCTTTGAAATTTACGCTTGTAATAATGAATTACTCACTAAAAGAGTGATTGCGTCCTGCAAAAATGAAAACTTGGTTAATAAGTGTGTGTGTGTGTGTGAGAGAGAGAGAGAGAGAGAGAGAGAGAGAGAGAGAGAGAGAGAGATGGATGCAGGATTCACCTCCCCCACACGGAGCAAAGAATTAGTCAGGATAACATCTACCCACAAAACTGCTGTTACTTTAGCTGCATAACTTAACACAGAACTAACTTTGGAAAGTTACTTAAATGAATATTTGGAACCCATGAAAATAAAGCATGTTGCTATGCAGAGTGATAACAAGTTGAAGAGGATTGTGGGGTTTTTTTAAAATGGCTTTTTGAAAGTGCACCAGTTATTTGGTCAGATGCCAAAGACACAATTTGTTAAAAGTTCCTTAGAGGGACAAAGCTTTTTTCATAGTTAAAAATGCTTTCAAAACAAGGGCTAATCTGTGTGTGTGTGTGTGTGTGTGTGTGTGTGTGTGTGTGTGTTACCAAAACAGCACCCACAGATGCAAATACACCTGCATACGACCTCCATAGTGCCCAAAGGGCCCTCCCTCTGTTGATAATAAGCTCTAGAGAAGCACTCTGTTGCAGCCAACAGAAGATGTTGAGGAAGTATTTCTCCAGTTTGCAGAAGTGCTCACCAGCCCAGAAAGGTTGACGACCCCTGGGCTAACAGGCATTACTTTTACTGAGATTAAATAAAACTTACTCCCATATCTGTATACCTGGACAATGGACTGTACTGATAACTGGTAACAAGATTGTTTGCTCCCCAGCCAACAGAGATGTGTGATTATTCCACGTAGCTTTCTGAGTTCACTATTTCAGTAGTTGCCTAGTGGGTCAACACGGCATTGCCAATTCACATATATACCCACCTATACAAAGATGGAAACACCTGTATCCGCATATGCCTTTGAATCTACCTACTGTTTAGCAGCTTGAACCCTGCAATTTCTCTTCTCACCTCCACTCTACTTCGCAACTGAGCCACTTCACCAGAACTTATTTTCCAAGGAGCAGTCTGTCATGTGCTATGCTTACATTTATCAGTTTGGGCTTTAAATAATCTGGGGTCAACTGACCTTTCTCAGACCCAAATGACCCCAATCAGTTAACCAGCACCAAAGCAAAAAAACCCCACAAAACCCTGAGGTTAATTTCCACCATATGAAAGTTGGCTGGAGAGGGGTGTAGCAGATGGACCTATTGACCCTTCGCAGATTAATTTACCTGCTGCTGCAGGATCACCCACACATTATGAATATTTATATTTCCCCCCCACCCATTTGTTACCCTACCTCTCCCAAAAAAGCTCCATTCAGCTCACCATAAGTGACATCCTAAAAACATGCATACTAAGCTGTCAAAAACTCATAAGAGCAACAAGCAGTCAAAACAGAAACAGATTGCAAAGAAAGAATTAGTCATATGTGAGAATCATATTTAACCTACAGCCTTCAGCAGACTGTGGCATTAAAAATGAAGCAAATTTAAAACGAGCACAATTGAAACTACATTCCATCCATCTCAATCCAGTATTTTTGCTTGGAATCAAATCTTCTTTCTAGTTGCAGACAATGATTCTCGTTCCCACTACCCTTTCTTAGGAAATGGGCCCCCTGTGCTCATTTAGAAGTGCAGTTAAGAGAGTGATAAAACAAGGAGGTCTGGACTGTGGATGAACTGTTGATTGGCCTGCACAGCAGGACCTTAGTTCTGTCACTGCTTGGCATCACTTGTCCATGGAAGAAGATTAGTCAAAGGTTGCAAAGAGCAAAAGGAATCCTACACGGAGCTTCCTTGTCCTTCTTGCTTTGATAGGCCTGTGTTCTTTGTGCAAGGACTCCCCGGGGGAAGAATTCCCGCCTTAGCTGGCTTCTTATATCAGCACATTTTAGTCCGTAGTATCACTTTCTGTGTTATTTCTGTTGAACAATCTTTGATACCTCCAACAATTATTTTGTTTTGTTCACCTTCAAAGTTCACTTCCCTGGAAAGAAGGGAATCACATTACAGCAAGGAAAGCTAAAGTAAACTTAACTGAGCTTTTCCAACTGCTGCTCATTTTAAAACTGAATTGGAGGTGGCGAAATAAATGGAAGACCACCAAGACTCTTGTATTCTGTATAGACTTCTTCACTGTATTTTGATAATCCAAAGCAGTGAATAAGAAACAAAAACAAATCAATGTTTGTAACAATGCAAAACAAATGTACAAAAAATTATGTGGCCAATGAAACAGAGGCTATGGTCTTCACACCATGCACTCCCATGCTTGCTTGTTCACACTTAGCCATGGTTTGGCTTAGCATTGTGTGCAAATTGGGCCAATGACTCTCTAATGTCGGGTGCATAATTGTCCATGAGTCCCAAGTTTCCAACACATGATGGATTGGATGTTACTTTGCTCATGCATTGGCAACTCCTGTGGATGAAAAAATGCACTTGAGATAATGTGTGATCCAAATTTGAAGCTTAAGCAAGCAGGTCAGACCAAAGACAATGATGACCCTTTGGACTTAGGGCCAAAGTAAATGGTTGGAGATTCATGGTCAGTTCTCCAACCTCTCTCTTTTTCTTTTTTTTAAAGGAAATTTCGTAAAGAGGCAAATAGCAGGTGAAGGTTAGGACTTGGGGGGAAAGACTGTTAATAGTTTTTGAACATCTTGTCTAATGTGACTCTGACAGGTATGAACTGAATGCGTCAAGGGGACACATTTGTAAAGCCTTTGAAGGCATTGGGCATATTCTGCAGAGCAAACCTGGAGTTGCCATTGAGTGTACACTTAACAAGGAGCTGCAGCCAACTGGAGATCCCCAATATATTTTTGTCATACTAGGTGTGTACATCTATACATACAATGTACACACATTGTGTGTGTACTCAATACATCTTATGCATATACTTTACATTTAAAGTGTGAAGTGGTCCTTATCAATAGGTTTCAAATGCCTTAAGCATTTTCTTCAAAGTCTAGAATAATTTAGGATTATCTCACTTGTATAGGTGGTATTGGCTGTGTCCACACTGGGCATTTACTGTGAAATTGGTATGCTTTATTCATCCATTTTTATGGGGCATCTGCACAATATCCTGAACAAAACATTACCCTTTCATGTTTTCTCTGTTCAGCTGCTGTTTCATTCTAGAACTAAGAAAAGCTTACTTTTTCCTTTTTTAACGATGTGGAATAATAGTGCAATTTCCCCAGGCCTATTGCCCTGCTTTTCTACCCAGGATAGATTGCTCTTGCCATTTGCTTCTCTGTGGTCTGCCTCTTCTCTCTAGGAAACTTCCTTTTCCACATGCATTGCCATTATACCTTTTCTCTCTTTCCCACTCCCAAAGTTCAGCTGTGGTGGAGGGCAGGGGGAATCATGACTGGAAGTGCATGAAAGGAAGTTCACCCACACTTAATGGCCACAATGCAAATTGTCCCCTTCCAATAGTTAGGGCTTGGGGAAAGGGGACTGCTCATTTGTCTACAGAGTGCTCGAAGGCTGCTATTCTACTTCCAGCTTAAAGCAGAACATCAATGATTGGGTGCTGCTAAATCTCCCATATACAGTTGCTCTGCCCACACACTATGTAAGGAAGATTTGCAGAGTTCAGTGACTGTTCAGCACCAGATGTGTATTATCTCATCACATACATATGCTGTAAAGGGGGGGAAATGTTTGAGCCAGAATATTCCTTCTCAACTGAAGAGGCATGACTGGTACCACCAGTTTGTGCTGACATGAGTAATAACCTACCCAACCATCTCCCATATCAAGCTGTGGGAGGGAATGAGAAGAACAAACGCTCCAGGTAGAAACCTAGTTAGAGCCCACTCATCTGGCATGCCACTTATGTAATGGATCCCCATGCAGATGCACCAGCTCCTCTGAGTCTGCTTAAATTCCTACTGATATGTGGATCATATGCTTTATCGTTGCAAAGGGGTGTAACTGTGTGTTCCTCCCTTCGTCAGCTGCCAGCCCACCCTGGTCAGGGATATGACAGGAGGGACTGGTGAATCTTCCATTCCACCTGCACAGGGGCTATGCAGACATAAAGTGGGGAAGTCCTGCCTCTTCCATGTTGGCATAATCTGAAAAGGTCAGCTGGAGGTGGAAGGAAGTGAGCAACATTAAACCAATCCCCCTAGCCAGTGCATAACCACGGAGAAGGCTTACTAGAAGGAGACAAGAGAAGGGATTGCAACTTAGTGCCATGTTAACTCCTTGCCCTTTCTCCCATCAGTTCCTTGGACCTCCAGAAGTCTTTTCTAGAGGCTTTTGCTAGCCGGTTGCTGTCATTACATAGGACTTGGGCTCTCCTGAAGCAGATGGACATCTTTGAAATGCAACTCTAATTTATCTGTGTCTAAGTCAGGGGAGGGAGGGTGATTTAAAGGCCAAAGAAGTGCACTGGTGTGGGGTGCTTGGGGAAGCACTGTGACTGTGTGGTAGAATCCATGCTCTACATGCAAAGGAGCCCAGGTTGAATCCTCAACATCTCTAAGTAGGGCTGGGAACAACCCCTGCCTGAATCCCTGGAGGGCCACTGCAAAGGCTTTGCAATTAGAAAAAGTAAAAGTAGTGGGGGCGGGGGGGGGGAATCAAATATAAATAGTGGAAGTATACAAAAAAGAACAACAGTATTTTCCATCTTCTTGTAGGTTTCATTTCATTTCAAAAAACACAATTTTATTTGATGGTTTGTTATTGTTTATATTTTGAATTAGATCTATATATGGGGGCACCAAAATCTTTGAAGTGCATAGGGCCTCTAAAGGTCTTAATCCGACCCTGCCTATGTGATCTGACTTACTAAACCCTAATGCTTCGAAAGGTTGCTCATTTTTTTTTTTGGTCATATTTTGGTTGCTCCATTTTGGAATGTTTGCAAACTAAAAGTGGCAGTTTAACCCTCATCATGCATGTTAACCTACCTCTTCCTCTGGTTAGCTTATTTGAGTGAATTTGTATCTGATAACAGTTTCTTTATTTGGCATACAGGGGTCTGGCAAATAGCACCTCAGGAGGTGACATTATCATCCCAGCTGTGAAATAACAGGCAGCACCCCTCCGTATCCCTGTTTTACTACACCACTGGTCCACAAGCACTTATTCCACAATAAATATATTCTTATTCCTTCATGCAGAGTTTCACAGATGTCCTTTATCCTCAAGATATGCCTTCAGTTGGGCTGTTCTAGTCTCTCATTATGCAACAGTTCATTTTCAAGAGGTTAATTGCTACGTTTTTCTTATTTTATTTTCATTTTGCCAGCAGCACATTCCTTAGTGTCTTTCCTTATTAACCTTCAAGATTAAGCTGTAGGTGATTATGTGCTTTCCATGTGGAAATGCTGTTCTCTTTTGGCTAAAAGACTGGGAGCTGGTTCAAATGGCTTGTAAATGCCACCTCAGTGTGAGCTTGGCTAATAAACAGTTGCAACTGTATAAAGGATGGATAGGGTTTTACAAAATGCAGACCTAGCTGAGTGTCTGGAGATCATTATTGAGCAAGAAGAGGCCCGTTGGCCCTTCTTTCTTAGAAAGTGTGACATGTAAGCCTTCCTGAGCCGCTTGGAGAAAGAGTGGGATATAAATGAAAAAAATAAAATAAGCCTAATTGATGGGTAGAATTTTCCAAGCTTACCACTCACTCAGCAGAATCCCATTGTGTCCTAAACTAGATACTGTATGGTGTTCTGTAGATGCAGTTAATGTGCAGTTTGTTTTAGAAAACATGAATAGCAGTTGTGGGGCCACAGGGGGCTGATAGGGAAAGTTTACCCCTCTTTTCCCCTCTGCCTTGGTCATGATGTAAACCAGGGGTCGGCAAGGTTTATCTTGCCTGGGCCGGTTCACTCCATGGGCCGGATTGCATGTGTGTGAGCGCACGCGATTTCCAGTGCCATGGAAGCGAGTCTCTGCGCTGCGCTGGTTTAGCACAGTGCGTGGGGCCTTTCTGAGTGGGTGGCTCACTTTGGGGGTGGCTCGTGGGCCAGTTAAACAACCCCCAGGGGCCGCTTGTGGACCATGGGCCTTAGGTTGCCGACCCCTGATGTAAACTGTAGTAAAAAGAGTTATATCCAGCTAGATGATGTCATCAGAAAGGGGAGGTTTTGTTTTGGAGTTACATTAGTTGGAATACAGATCTTGAACAAGTCAGACGTGTAACAGGTCTCTTAATACTGGGGGGTCTCCCTGAAGCTGCTCTTTCCGTTGGCAGGGAAGCCTGCAGTTTGGTTCCAGTAATGGAGTTGGATGAAACAAATGCAATTCAAAGGAAACAAATGCACTTTAAGTTCACATGTTCAGATGCAAGTCATTAAGTGATGTGCAGGCTTGTGTGAACCAACTGTTGGAGGCAGTAAGTCCTATTCTGTGTCCAAATTCTCTGTCTGCAGCACAGCATCATATTCATCCTTTTCACCATGCTGTAGTAAACCTTCCATCATAAGCTGCATTGATTTACAGAGATGATCTTGAAAAAGATGAGTCTATTGGAAAAGTTGAGATAATCTGAAAGTATCCAGCCTTCAGGGAACAGAGTAATAGTAATAACAAAGAAAAAAAACCTCCTCTTACCTAGCAGCTCTGACTTAGTACTATTCCAATTAGATGCTGTGTAGTGCGTTCTAGAGACCACTGGAAGGTGAAATCCCTGCAGGGAAGGATTTGTGAGATTCTGCAGGAAATTGGTATTACATGTAATTGTTTCCTGCTGAGAAAGATCTAAGAGAAAGTTGAAGAAAAGCTGCTAGGCTTTTCAGCAATCACCTCTTGAATATAGATTGAAAATGAGTTTCACTCCCTGCATACCTACCATAGGGGCCCCAAAGTATATTTTGCTTGAATAATGCCTCATTACGTAATACTGGTGAACTGCAAAATAGTTTACCCTGTAAGTCAGAAGTCTACTGCATCTCTAATAAGCAAGGTGTTGGATAACATTAGCTAGGATGACCTGCTGCTTGGAGTATATGCCTGGAAATAAAGGGACAAAATTGAACTTGAAAAACAAGCCCTGGTTACAACTTTCAGAGGGGTAGCCCTGTGGCTCAAAGGTGTAAAAAAAACGACAAACAGTTGTTAGAGCTGGTCCCAAAATGTTTTGATTCCTGAAATGAAGGGTGAGCTCACTATTCCTACATAAGCTGGATGGACAGGTACCATCAGAGCACTGCAAATGGCTGAGGGGTTCAGCAGGGGTCAAAGAACTGTGTGTGCGTGTGTGTGTGTGAATGTTGCCACCACTGTCCAGCATCATCTACGTAAGGTAGCCACCTGCCTCTGCCTAATGGTAGGGACAGCCCTGTAATAGCTTTTGGTGGGCTAGTCCCTACATCAACAGACGCACAGTGTTATCCTCATTTGACATATACACATGCCTAAATCCTAGGGGTGTGCAGCAGCTTTGGAAGGGTCCCAAATGCCAAGTTGAAGTAGGGAGCCTCAGAAGGAATATTGGGCTTGTCCGAGGTGAAGCAGGATCCGTACAAGGTGCCCCAAGTCAAAGTGGGGATTCCACTCCCAGTGGCCTTGTTGACAACTCAGGTGCCAAAGAAGTCAGCACTATTCTCCCCATAGGCAACTGAGGCTTGCCAAATCCTTCTAATGAGCATGGAAAATAAGTCATAGGTGAGATTTTTAACTGGGCACTTTCTTGCTCTGCCTCTCAACCAGTGTGCTGCAATGAACATTTGTTTTTTTTTTATAATTGATATTTATTAGGTTTTCAAAGAGTAACAACAAAAATTTCCAAAAAAGTTTGAAAATACAGAAAAAAACAAAAATAATACAAATAATAAAGAAGAAAAAACCCAGCCGCAGAAAAGAAAAAAAGAAAAACAGAAAAACAGAAATATAAAATCCTTTACGATCTCCATTAACTTCCTTTCTAGGCTTCCTCCTCCCCTCTCTTGTTTCTTAGTATTTAAACAAATCCTTTCTGTTTTTTCATAACAATCTATCATTACGTTTCCTTATTCTATTTTCCCTTTTGTCATATAAAAACTTTAAAACTCAAAGCTTATATTCAATATTTAGCAAATTCTTACATCATTACCTTTTTACAAATCCTTTACCAATCCTTACTTAAGCCATATAATTTCATTCAACATCCTTCAGACATTTATAAACATTCCCAATATTAAAAAATAAGAAAGAAAAATAATAAGTCAGATTCAGTCCAGTCAGCTTCCAGCCTCCCTCCCCTGGACCCGGGATTGTCAGTCCTTTTAACCTCAATAATCCGGCTCCTTAACCTGGTTGTCTCGTATCCGAGGCCCTCAAGTCTCTTTCTTGCCCCTTTCGCCACTCTTGTTGATATTTCCCTTTCAGTCGTGGATACTCCAGCAAAAAGATGCTTTTGACTCTTTGCAGCAAGTCCATCCCAAACCCATTACCCAAGCCAGACAGCAGATAATACCACTTCCAATTTCCACAAAGCTTGGAGACTTCGACTACTCCAATCCTCTGATGGCCCATCACTAGACTCGGAAAGTCCAAATAACCATATAGAGGGGTGTCAATCCATCCCCCCATTTCCAAATCTGACCACATTTCATCTTTCCGAATCAGGTTTGTCCCAAGTTCATTTATCAAGTTCAAAGGCTGATCTTGCCCATCCAAAGGTCCCTCCATCTCTGAAGCCTCCGTCGCTACAGCAGGTTCATATACTTGTATAGACTTTAACTGAATTTCATTTGTTTGCTGCTGTGCTCTGGTAACTTCCATCATCAAGGTCGGCTCCTGACGCATCTGGTCCAGCTGGGCACTTAATTTTGCAAAACCTTCCAGGAACACTTGTTCAAGCCTTTGTACAAGCATTGTCCTTCAAGGTCAAAGAAAATTCTTTCCCACGAGAATAGTCCTTCTCTTTTAAACTCTCTGCATTGCAATTTCACTCAGTTCCACTAGATGGAAAACCCTTTTTAAAAAAAAATTTTTAAGAGGGGGAAAAACAACAGCAACAATCTTTCTTTTTCCAGAAACACTTTATCTAAAATTCCCCCTTCCAAATTCAAGAGGCAACAGTAGAATCAAAATGTTACCCTTCTTTTAACTATCTGTCGAGCTGGATAAGCTTCAAAACGTCAGTTCTGACAGCCCGCTCCTGGTTCAGGGCGGTGGAAAATTACTTTATTTTAAACTCACTTCCGCAGGGTTGAAAAAACCAAAACAACCCCCTTCTTCTCCTGCAGTCAAAGGGGGGTTCAGAAATCTTAGATGTTGAATTTTAGTTCTCTCAGAATTTAATTTTCAAGCTTTAGTATAATTTGTCTTTGCTTTCTTCACATAACAAAAGAACGGAAGGCGACTTCCTGTTTAGACCTTTCCGTTCCGAGTCCCAATTAAATTCAATTTCAAGTTCAAGTCCAATGTTATTTATTTATTCACCAATCTTAAAAGTAGTTCAGCTCTTCCAGGATCAGGTACTCACGGATAGATGTTTTAGATGCCAAATTGTCCAGGAAAAAGGCAGCGCTCTCCGAAACGGCAGTGCGGCTTTGCTGCACGGAGGAAGCAGTCGACTCACAGCACCACGCACCTCCACTCCGGAGCCCGGTAACGGGCTCCTGTACAGGGGAGAGAGCGCTCTCGGTGCCCGCCGAGTCCCACGTCCACAGGCTTCTTCCGCCTGTGGTTTTTAAGGGTCCCCGCTGCGCCGTAGCGGCAGGACCCAAGCCTCCGTGCAGCGGGTTCCCTTCAGTTCGAAGGGAATTCCGCCATTTTCCGGAGGCGCCACCCCGGAAGTGCTGCAATGAACATTTGACCCGCAGAACAAATAATAATCCTTTGCAATATACTCTTTGAAATGAGAAGACATGGACATTGCCTTGAGTTTCATAGTGACAGACGAAAGGCAGGATATAAATATAAGAAAAACAAAAACAATGGTGCCTAGTTCTAGATACACTGCAAAAAGATGCTGCTTGCAATCAACTTAAATTCCCAGCTAAAAACTTTCAGTTTAGCCCAAATGCACAGCTGTCTTCTCTCCATTGAGGTAAATATTTTCAGTGCTGCTGGCTTACAGTGCAATCCTGTCCATGTCTACTCAGAAGTAAGTCCTATTGAATTCAACGTGTCTTACTCCCAGGCAAGCAGTTAGGACTGCAGCCTTATTACTCAGTTGCTTCTTTCATCTGTTTGACTGCTCATGGGTTTCTGCAGAGCCATTTTAACCAGACATATCCTGGGGTGCACTGTTCCCACATCTCCCTCTAGATTTGCAAAAGTAGGCCATTGCCAGCCAGCTGCTGGTTAGGGTGCCCCTCCTTGTTGAACGCAGGCTCTGTATTATTTATCTACCCAGGCAACTGTTCCAAACTCAAAGGCTTTGAACTCAACAAAACAGGGGAAAGTAGCAGATCACTGCTGTAATTATTGCAAACAAAAAACAGAATTTTAAAAATGTACCGTAATTATTATTCTTTTTACAATGTGCCTCACTTTCTTGCTTCCAACTGGTGCCAGATTTATGTCCTTAGATCTCTAAGAAAATTGCTACTTGGACTTTGTTCACTTGGACACTAAGATGCATTTGCTCTCCAGAGCGAGTTTGCTGGCTCCACAGCTCCTGGTAATTTTAGGAGGAATGATGGTCCCTTAGAAACAGGGACGGTAATACCACAGTAGTACAGCAGCCGGCTGCAGGAAATAAACTGTATAACAAGTACAGAAGACCACAAGGCTCTTTAATCTTCAACACTGCTCTTTGTCATGCTACTCATTATTCCGTTTCCCTGTTGTTTGCATGCATGTGCATATTTTAAGCAAGGACACACATTTATATGCTGGCTGCAAAAGAAGGCGATGGGCCTGAGCATGACTACACAAGATAGGGGAGAATTTCCTTCCCTCCCAAGCTCATGCTCACATTCTTCATTAAGCTGCAACTGCATTGCCCTAAGGACAGATTGATTCTAAATGGAAATGATGCGGTTTCTGAAATGTGCCCACCCACCATTTCATAGAATCATACCATTGAAGGGACCCCAAGGGGCATCTAATCCAACCCCCCTGCAATGCAGGAATCACAATTAAAGAATGCCTGTCAAATGGCCATCCAGTCTCTCTAATGAAGGAGAGTCCACCACCTTCTGAGGTAGACTGTTCCTCTGTCAACCTGCTCTTATTCCTGATGTTTACTCAGAATCTCCTCTCTTGCAATTTGAATCCATCACTTTGGGTCCTACACTCTGGAGTAGCAGAAAACAATCTTGCTCCTCCTTCCATGTGACAGCCCTTCATATATTTGAAGATGACTATCATAAATCTCTTTGAGGGTGGGCTTTCTTTTTTGAAATAAGTTTATTTTTTTTTTCCAGATTACAGTTTTATAATCACATATCCAACATACAGCATAAAGACAAGATTCCGTAGAATCTCCTGGACTTCCCTCCTCCCCTTTGTGAGTCCTATTATTAATCATTTCCTCCTGCATCTTTTATAATAATCCAAATCTTTTACATCTTCATTATATCCAAAATTCACCACTAAACTACAAGTGTTATTCCATTCCTACTAACAATTTTAACTGTTTCCCCCGTTCTTTATTAAAATTTTGGTCTTCCTGATTTCTGATTCTTCTGGTCATTTTTACCATTTCAGCATAATCCATCAACTTAATCTACCATTCTTCTCTGGTTTGGACTTTATCCTCTTTCCATATCATATAATCTCTTTGTCTTCTCTTCTCCAGGCTAAACATACCCAACTCCCTCAACCGTTCCTCATAAGGTTTGGTTTCCAGACCCTTTATCATCTTGGCCACCTCCTCTGCACATCTATATGAATTGGTATTGAGGTTCTAACAAAGGTTCTAACTAACAAAGGTTCTGTTAGTTGCTTTTTAAGCTCCTCACATCTTCTCAAACACAGTCAGCTCACACATTCGCCACAAATGTAGAGAATTCACTTGTGCTATCTGTACGTAGGACCCAGGCTTGAGTGTTGAGTAATCTAGTGATGGCAGATCTAATGAAAGAACTGCATGTGCGAATGAGCCCTGAGCTGCGTAATGACCCAGGCTTTTTCTCGAGTCTGGAGTGCATTTATGGAGGCTGCACTGAAAGATCCCCAGACTGCATGACTTAATGAATAAAGCACATTGTTCACAGAGGGTCTCACCAGAGGCAAAACTTTGAAAAGTGCAAGAGTCACTGTTTTGTGGACCTCTAACTGCTTTATCATATGGTCAGAGAAACCTGGCAGTTCTCATATGGCAGCATATGAATTCATTTGAAAGATTTCTGTCAGATCACCCAAACAGATAGTCAAGTTCTAGCTGAGAGGCATGGCCAGTAGAACAAACGAATTCCCTGCATGAATTTCTCAACCATTCATTCCTTTGTGAGGCTCACATAAAGGGAAATTATTTGTTTCTCCCCTATTCAATGTACTGAGAAAGTCTCTGACTTAGGCAGAGTTCAATAAAACTGGCAGCCCTCTTGAATGCCACATAACATTATCCAAGCTCAGACTACTAACTGAGCATCAAGCGCAAAAGCAGTTGAGTTGTCTATAGTAATCACACACAGTCCTTCGCCTGTACTTCAACCATGCTAGAATTTATTGATCTAGGGCAGGGTAGGGGAACCTGTGGTCTTCCAGCTGCTGGAACTTACCCTAGTGTAAGCCTGGAAAATGGGTGGTTGAAGGGGGAACAGGTGGGGATGGGCATATGCTGGATCTTAACTTTCTTCAGCTTATTCATGTGACCTGGCAACCTGGCAGAACATGTGCCCATGAAAAGGTAAAGGGACCCCTGACCGTTAGGTCCAGTTGCGGACAACTCTGGGGTTGCGGCGCTCATCTCGCTTTACTGGCCAAAGGACCCGGCGTACAGCTTCCGGGTCATGCGGCCAGCATGACTAAGCTGCTTCTGGCGAACCAGAGCAGTGCACGGAAACACCATTTACCTTCCCGCCAGAGCGGTACCTATTTATCTACTTGCACTTTGACATGCTTTCGAACTGCTAGGTTGGCAGGTGGTGTAATTCAACTCTATTTCAAAGGTTTATTTCCCCTTTGGAAAGCTTAGGCTGGCTCAGCTCGCAGTAGCCCCACTCCTGAATAGGGTTTGGATCTGAGTTACTTTATGCTGGCTAAACTTAAGGAAGCGTAACTTATGCTGGCTTCTCATACAGGCAACTACCCATTTATGTACATACAAGACATGGGCGACAGCGCATCACCACAAACAAAAAGGGGTGAAAATGCCTGTAAAAGAGTGTAAAAATTGGAAAAATTGCACACAAACAGCATCTAGCAATCCCACAGGCCTTTGCAAGTGAAATTCCAGGAGCCTTTGCACTGACCTTTGAGGCCTGTGGAGAGTTCGAGTTTGAGCAACAAGGTTTGGAGCGATTGTGTGCTTGCAGGCTTTTTCAGTGGTGCTCCCAATATACAAGACTTCACTTAAATGTGTGATAGCTCGGAATGTAACGTCCCTATCATAGGTACGAATTTATTATGGGCAGGCAGGTCCGGAACAATTTTATAGCCTTGTAACTTTTGTTGACTTATTAGCAAGGATCTCTTTTGGCTCATCCCTTCTTAGGAATTCTCTACTTCCTGACTGCAAAAAGAGGACAACTCATATATTTTGTTTAATTCAGAAAACAATCCTAAGCATATGTAATTGACTTGCAATTGACCTCTCCTTAAAGTTATCTGTTCCATCTTTACTGATGTATGGTGGGCCTGAGTACTTTCCCTGAACCCCTCTTTGATCTAGCAGGTCAGCATTTGCAAAGCTTATCTTAATTACCCATCCCCTTGTTTAGGTAGTCTCAAGAAAGACTCCCCAAAGAAGCTTAGGGAGCAGCTGAGATGAAGCAAGAACAAATTAATGACCATTTGATAAGATTCATAAAGGGCAGAGAGATCATCCATTTATCTGGCAGCCAAAAGTATAGAGTAAATAAGTATGCTCTTTGCCTCTGTATTATCTCAGATGTCATGCTTTCTTTGGATTAGCAGAGAGGTGAAGAGAAGTAACAACAGCACCAGTTCTGCTTTATCTCTCCATGGGATTTGAATTGAAGTCTGATGCCCTATCAGTTAAGGGATGTGTTTGTCTATGTGTTTGCTGCCCTTCTATAGCTACAGATCATCTTCTAATTTGCGTGGAAAGTAGGATACCTGTTTTAGAAGGGGTTTCCTGCCCTGTGTTCCATGCTACAGCTGCATATCCCCTCCCCCAAAAAAATCTGGAGGCTCAGGAGACCCTCCTATATGATGTTCGATCGGGTGTGAGGAGCCGAGAGGTGAAGGAAAGGATGTTGTTAGCTAAAAGTTGAAGCAAAAGTGTGACTTTATGTCTAAAGGCCTTGGATAGAACAAACACCATTAGATGTACTGCTGGATAAGTGTTTCATGGCTCTTACATTTGTTTAAAAAATAATACAAATTGTGTGTATATGTGCATGTGTGTGTTTTAACAAAAGCTTCCCAACTCCTCTTCTTGGTCATGTGGGACCAGGAGGAGGCTAGACTTGTTCACATTGCACAATTGTGGTTTAGTGCTGCATCCAAACACTTCCTATGTTTATCTCACTGTTTTATGCATAGAATTACAGCCTTTGTCCTAGGCCAAACCAGTATTCCTTCTAGGATTACGAAAGAGATTCATAGGCTCCTCTGGAGTAGATGACCTGAGGACTGCACCTGCTAGCATCATGTGTGAGGGGCAGTGAATAAGCCTGTGTGATATGTCAAGGAGCACATTGGCAAAAAGGATTCCTTGCTTGGCTTCCTTCCTTGCCTCCCACAAGCCCTCCTGTTCTTCATGCGAAAGAATGTTTAGGAAGCTGTTAAAACTGTTAAGAAATTTAATCACCACATGACCAAGGTCAAAAATGCTGTGAAAAAGGAAGCAAAGAGCTAGTAAAAAAGAAGAAGAGGCAACTCCCCCTCTTTCCAGATTGTTGTGGTAAAGCACTGGGTGCTCCTCTGCTTTAGATAAAATACAGGGGTGCATATTTTTTCTAAACAGGTGGCTAGCCATCCTGGGGCATTTTTCCCTGGGAAGGCTAATTGTGACTTTGTTTTTGAATAGCGCCTGTTGAACATGTAATATATTGCAGCTCTAAGATCTTCTGTGTAGGATAAGAGGAGAAACAGAGCTGCACATTTAATCTGCATATGTGATGAGTTAGTTATGGTCGCCTTCAGGTATTTGGCAGTTTCGAGATATGCTCTGAAATGCAAACCAGGCCTCAAGGGCTTTAGAGAAAACTGTGTAAAAAAGAGAGAGAGTTTTGAATGAAAAATTAACACACATACTAACTTCTGCAAAGTGAAACCAGCTGGCAGCTGCTAAAGTCTGCTCGTGTCATTGAGGCTGCAATCCCACACCTACTTCCTTGGGAGTAAGCCTCATTGAGCTCAGTGAGACTTACTTACAAGTAGACACATGTAGGATTGCACCCTCAGCAAACTGTGGTACCCAGATTTCTTTGGGGAAAAGCATGGCTGTTAAAGCAGTATAATGTTGCTGCAAATGTATGGGATGCATGTGACCTACAGTATCATAATCTAAAACACACATGAGATGTAAAGGACAGGGGAAGAAATAGGGAGTGGGTTCTGTCTTCTAAAGGCAGAGGAAAATCACCGACCCTGGTCAAGCAAAGCTGAGGATGGGGCAACATCTGCCAATCCAGGTGCCTGTGCTTTGGGGAATAATCACTTGCAGCCAGGCCTTGATCCCACTGAAGACAACAGTATCACCCATCTTGGTTTTCAACAGACACACCACTTCACTTACCACAACATGACTCATCAAAAGTAATATGTGATAAGGGGACACAATGTGAAGGGGAGATATAGTTTAATCTCTCATCATCTCACACCATAAAAAGCACAGACTGAAGCTCCCATGCATAAGCAAAGTGGTGTGTTTTTTCCCCAATAGGACACTGCTGCCATTCTCCAGAGCATTCCTTTATTAGAGAATAATCTTAGATTTTAGCTCCCCTTGTAAGAGTAAATAATGGCCGTCCATCCCATTTTTCCACAGACAGCTTTGCCCCTTCTCCCGTTCTTCTGCTTGCCGGGAAGGTTTGCTAACCTTCTTTGTTATTGTCACATTCACACATGACATTTAAAACCCTCTTATACTACTGAAACAGTCATCACTTCCCCTCAAAGAATTCAGGAAACTGTTGCTTTTAAAGGGTGCTGAGAGTTGTTAGGAGGCCCAAACATCACCTGGCATGGTGGGGAAAGTTTCACCTAATAATTTTCTGTGTTAAATGACAAAAAACTGAATCAGTCTAAAAAATGTAATGCTTTATATTAACACCCAACATGTTTGACCTTCCAGATGAACCCTAACCCCCAGATTCCCAGCCTTCATTTTTCAGAATGAGTAAGTTAATTGCATTTTTAGAACCTGAGATATGCAACAAAATGTACAGGTGTTATTCTTTGCAAAAAAAAAAAAAAGCTTTCTCCCTCCTTTCAGTGTTTTTCTTTGCCTCCTGCCCCACAGTGACAATAATTCCTGTGGATGCCTGTATTCCTCTCCTGGTACAGGTATTATGCTTTCTTCTTGAACAAATAACTCTTCTATGCATTTTGAATGAAGCAAAGTCAGTATGCCTGAGCTGACAGGGACACTGAAGAACATGGTTCTTGCTCTGCATAGATAAGACAAGTGCAAGGTGGAAGGTAGAGACTCCATTCCTAGGAAATGAATCCATAATAAGCAGGATATTAAAAGATATGGGGAAACATGCGACCACAGTAGGAAGGGATGGAACGGTCCATTTCTCTTTTCAACAGTGGCCATCCAGATGCTTTAAGGAAGCTGAGAATCATGATCTGAAGCAACACCCCCCCCCCTTAGTCTGAAGTGGTACAACCTGGGCACAGGTTTACCATGTCAATGGTTACATAGTCATGGTGTCTTCATATAGCATTAAAACCAAGGGGTGGGGAGGAACAGCCCCAGGATTTCCCTCCCTAAGCAAGAGTGACTTCATCTGCTGAAGTACCTGGTAATCAACAGGCTCCCCTTGCTGTGGCAAGTAAATGAGGTGATAGTGAGACTTTCAAGTTTGTTTTTGTGACTCATCATCCAGAGTCCTGCCTCTTCCTGCCTCTTTTGGGATGATATTGTGGCCCATATAGTGGCAAAAGAAGCACAAGCGCTGTGCGGCATGAATATTTCAAGCACCAGGGTGGGTTACCTTAATTTTTCATGGCATACATTTTGGAACAAGGATTCTCAAGCTGTGTCCTGCAAGAGGTGTGGGAGAGAGGCTCTTACGGCACATGGCCTGAGAATCTCTGTTCTAGAGAAGTGGGAGAAGTCCCTGAGGACGTTTACTGATATTATCAAAAGTTCTTTTGCTGCACACTCCTTTGCTTGGTGGCATTGGAAGCTGAGTGAGATTGTTGGTCCTTCCAGTTTAGTACCCTAGCAGTGGCTCTCCAGGGTTTCAGATGGGGGTCTCTCTCCCAGTCCTCCCCAGAGATGTAATAGATTGAACATAATCCACTGTAGCCTGCACCACTGAGTGGTGAGCCCTCCCTTTGGCTTCTTGCTCAGAAGTAATTCCCACTGTGTTCTATAGAATTTGCCCCTAGGACTAGGTCAGGACCTGGCAGACCAGGGTTCAAATCCCAGCTATGTTTGGGACCTTGGAGAGCAGTCACTGACTTTCAGCCTAGCCTACCCCACAGGGTTGTTGTGAGAATAAAATGGGGAGGAAGAGAACTATGCATGCCACCTAGAGCAGCTCCTTGGAGGAAAGGTGAGCTCTAAGTGTAGTCCTAAGAAGATTGTGTGTCCTTTCTGAGGATGCTCGCAGGTATGGAGGGTTGAGAGGGGTGTGTGAGCGTGTGTAGAAACTAGACTGCTGTACAGAGGTAAAATTTACATGTGTAAATGTACAAGTGTGCTCTGGCCCCACCCACCACCAGCTTGTGGCCCACAGAATAGTTGCCCAGAAGAGGACAGTGCTGCTCTCGAATTGAAACCCGTTCCTCACCTCTAGCTGGACCACCAAAAACCTGACCAAGCTGTCACCGAAAGTTTATGTGTCTTATCCCTGCTAAACAACAAGGATGCAACTTTCCAAAGATTTCATGGTGTGTTTTGTTTTTTGTTTAAAAGCCACGGTGATGTCTTTGTGGCTCTCTCTGTGTGTGTTGACAAACAGTGCGCTGAGAGAATGCTACCGCCCGGCTCTGTAGGTTTGCCAAAGAGGCTGCTTTCCTTTTTCAAGCCGAAGCGAACTTAAGGAAGCCCACAAGGTGTTCAGGAAGGAGGAGGCGGAGGCGGAGGCGGCTTGCAGAACTTGCAGGGAGAGCTGCTCGCTCCCTTCAAAGCCAGCCGAGCGCTGGAGAGGAGAGGAAGGGAAGGGAAGGGAAGGGGGGGCGAGGCATCTCTCTCTCTCTCTCCACCCGGCCTGCTCCCTCCGCACCGCTCCCTCCTTGCGGGGCTCCGTCCCGAGCGCAGAGCGCACCGAGGCCACCATGGGGGCGGATGAGCCCCAGGGTAAGTCGCCGGCCGGCCGAGCGGCTGCTTTTCTCTCTCTCTCCCGTCCATCACCTCCTCTGGACTATTGCGGTGCCTTGTGCTGGAAATCTGCCTTGGGGGAAGAGAAGAGACCTCTCCCCCCCACACCTCCGCCCTCCTTTTCCAAGCCGGCCTGGCTGTCACGTAGCCGTGCGATTCTAGACTGCGGCGCCTCAAAAGTTTCGGCCGTCGTTCCCCAGCCGATTTTTGTTGTTTGTGCGTGGGGGGGGGGGTGTCGTTTCTGCCTGCCTTTCCCTTCTCGCCATCTCTCAGCCCCCTCCCTCTATGGAGATGGACGGAGGGTGCGGTCGCCGACTGCACGTGCTGGCAGCCAGGACGGTGGTAGCCCGGCAGATCTCGGCGCGGCGCTGCCCGGGCTGGGCTGGAAGGGTGCGGAGTAGGGGATAGGAATAACAACTCCGCTCCAAATCTGGAGGCCAGATACTCTCTTCTCACGCTCTGCAAAGTGTCTCACTCTGAGTTTTATTTGTGTGTGTTTGGGGAGGGCGATTATCTAATTGTTGCCCCATTTCACACCCCCCCCACACTTTTGGGGGAAGGAAGGTAGAATTAAAGCGGTGGCTTTGCACCTGAGAAGGTCTTAGCCATGGAGCAGGTTTCCACTATCCAGCTGATAAGTAACGAGGCTTGGTTTGAGCATGTGCAAAGTGCCGTTCTTTTGCCTCTCTCTCTCTCTCTCTCTGGGGGGTGGGGGACACGAAATGTACTTCTGCATCTTATCTACCTGCTCCCTCTCCTTCAGTTTGTGGGAGAAGCACATAGAAATCTTAGATGATTTTAAGTTTACCTCCCACACCCTTCCAGGAATCAGGGCTGCCCTTCATTCCCTCCCTCCATTTCATCCTCACAGCAACCCTGTGAGGTAGACAATGTGTGTCACCCAGGGAGCTTCTTGCCTGAGTGGAGATTTGAACAGTGGTTCCCCACTGCGCACCCCACACTTAACATTAAGCCGCACCAGTGGAATGAAAGGAAATCCCTGACAAGTTTTGGTGAGTTTCCGTTTTACACAGCGCTGGATTTAGGGTTAGACAGCTTAACTGAGCGGCGCCTGTGGTGCCCTGCTTGGAAGGCAATGGGTGCCATGGACTAGCTGCTTGGCTATAGTAACTCAATACAGAAACAATAGCTTTTCTATATGGTCTGAAGAAATGCAGATTTGTAGATCTGAGCATGGACATTCCTTGTCTTACAGGACAAGAGGAAAATCATGCCTGAAAATTGTGTGATGAAATGGGCTATTGGTGCAATAATGTAAAAAGGTATTCCAGGCTTGAACTTGGTGCCCTCCAGCCTGCAGGCTGAAGTTGTAGTCCAAAAAATTGGGCAAATAGAGAATCGTTGGACTCTGAAGAAGATTGTTTTCTAAATGCATATTAAATGTCAGTTTCTGAGCACCACTCTGAGATTCCCTGCTCCTGTTTGTTTTATGTGTAAGTTGAATCTTCCATGGAGATCAGGTGTGCTGAAAGAATGCAGTCCATTCTCCCAAATAACAAGTACCTAGCAAATGTCATTCTTGGTACAATTCAGAAACAAAATGTTTTCACCTATGGCAAAAAGGGGAGCTTTTATATCAGTGAAAATGTTTTTGTTTCTCAGTGTTTGTATCTGAATGGTTAAGATATTTGTTATACTGAACCTGAGTCAGAATTTGCAAGGGCTCCTCTAGATCCTAATTAAGGGCTTAGATTGAAAAGTGCAAAGTCAGAATGAAGGAGAGTGCCTCTGACCATATGCAGAGTGGCCTCTCCTGGACTCTTATCTACAAGTGAGTGTAGCCAGCTCATAAGCAGCAGGTAAAAGAGGGCAAAGCTTTTTATCTGGTTGAATGCTGACACCATTTTCTGTACTCTGTTTTAAGTGTAAAGAAATAAAATGAGAAAGGAGAAAAAAGTGAGATGCAGTTTGCTTTCCTTTAGCAAATTACATAAATGTTTGACGTACCCCATCCACCTGGCCATGCAGTCTGCATGTGCCTTCAGACCATTGGCCCATCTTGCTTGTCTGTATTGTCTGGCAGCAGCTCTCCCAGGTTTCAGAGAGGGGAAATGCCCAGCCCTACCTGGAGAAACCAGGGATTGAACCTGGGACCTTCTGTTGAGTTAAGCCTCTTTCCCATCACTAATATAGTTTATAGACGCCATGTAATATTCCCAGCCCCCTTTCTCAAAGTTTTGGATTAGTTCGTGTGCTCTTAAAATCCTCTTGAACTGGGACATGTGATACTTCTGGTGCTCACAGAGTGATAGGCATTAAGTCTTAGGGATCTAACACTTAAATTAAAACATGCAAAATTCTCTGCCAGGATCCTGCTGCCTTTGCATCCCTGGGGTGTTTATTGTTCCCCAGCTAAAGCTCTGTCCAGAGCTATACACTATAAATATATTGAATTAAATGCTTGTTGAAGACTGCAGTGAAATCCAGGTCTCCCATTCTCTGCCCCGCTCTTCCAAGATGTAATCAATTTCAGCCATAAAATGCCACACACTTGTCTGCTATTTTAGGCGCATTTAGTTTATAATAGTCAGCAATGTTGACACAGTCAGCTTTAGTTGAAAAAAAAATCCAGCTTTGAACAAGTATAGGTAGGGTTTTAAAACTTCATAGCCTACGGAAAGAGTTTAATGAAAAGTATGGTTCCTTCAGTAAATGCTGTAAGTTGGTTTGGGGTGGACTCCGGGGGGGGGCATTGTTTCATCATCATTTAATAACCCCCTTTAAGACTGTGTTCATTTCTGGGTCAGTCTTGGACAAATTGGTGCAGAAAGATACACCTCATTCCACCCCAAGACTTGGTGATGGGAATGAGTGGGAGGTTCTTCATGTTGCAGATTGCAAGCATATGGGGCACTAATCCAGAGCCGGCCCACAATGTGGGGGGCAAAAGGGTTCAAGCCCCCCTGCCCCACAGGCATAGATCCCAATCTTGCTTGCCTTCCTGTGCCTTTAGTTTGTTGCTTAAAAGCTATTCCTGCAGTTGCTAATTGTGCAGATGTTGCCAATAGTGGATGGAGTGGTGGGGCAGGGGGAGGTTAGTTCAGTGCAAACAGACAGACCAGTAAGAGCGTCTGATGGGCTCTGCTGGTGCATTTGCACCATGCCCGCCTACCCGCCCCCTCTTTTCCCTAGTGACTTGGCTGTCAGGCGGTTAGGTCAGCCCTGCCCCAACACCACATCATCAGCTGTTGGACTCCAACTGGACATCAGACCCAGGCAAAAAAGGCAATGGTCAAGGTTGGTGGAAGTTGTATATAACAATATCCGGAGGGCACAGGCCCTTGCATGGGACCTGAAGCTCTTCTAGTCTTTGACAAGTTGTGCTGTGCTTAATTTGCTCCCAAGGTGATCTGTGATAAACTGATCCAAGAGTGGATGCAATTTGCATGCCACCCAGTGTGCCAATCAACTCCTAGATTTGCATACCATGTGACATGCTACTAGTGACAGTAGTGGGTGAGGAGGAAATAACTCCACATTCCATAAATAACACTGCAAAGAGTGCCTTGATCCCTTTGACCACTCTTCCGTAATTGCTTGCTTATTTCGGAGTAGCCAACGAGACGAAAGCAATTTGAGGATCACCACTTTATCCTCTCCATTTTTGACAGATTACAGTGGTATATTGTATTGTACACAATTAGACTTGTCTCTCATGATCTAAGGAACACAATGGGGGGAGTAAACAAAGGACCTCTTGTTTTATGAAGAGGAAAGCAAATAATCTTTGCAAAACTGTGCTTAATTATGGTGAGATCATTGAACAAATACTTTTTTTGGACTGTGTCAAAGCAGCCACCTGCACAAATGCAAGCCCCATTTTGGCCAGAGTATATTTATCTTTGGGGTGATGGTTTCTGAAGTTCTTGGGAGAGGTGACCTGCTCATTGTGAAATGTGGCCTGAGTCTTCCATGTTAACAGATTTGGCTGGAGTCCACCCTAATTAACTTTGAGCTGGAGTGCATGTGTGTTTGATGGAGGAGAATACAGCACAGCATGCAATCATGGCTGTGTTTAAACTTTTCCTTTTCTGAACTCTCTCAACTCACCGAGAGCTGCACCTCCAAAGTCCTTTGGGCCTTTTAGCAAAGCCATGTATTGGGGTTTTAACAGATGTTGTTTTCCACTCCTTTCGTGGAAAAGGTTATCTTGCTGGCTATTGTGCATTGTTCCAAGGGCCCATGGCTTGGCAGTGGAATGCTGGGGGAAGCTTGCTCGCTTCCAGCTACAAAGGAAAGTGCAAGTCTTCAGCGGCCTCAGTGAACTCTGTAGGATCTAACTGTAGATGACTGTGCAGGCTGATGGGATATATTAACATGCATGGGAGGCCTGGCCAAGTTTGTCTCAAGAGCACCGTCGTAGAAAATTCAATGGAACAGTAATCATTATAATAACAGATGCTGAAAGATGGCTGCATAAGGTACATAAGTTTTTGACTTCTGGAGCAACTGGTGGTTCACAGCATCCACACGTACCTAGCATACACTTACAGGTCAGTCTCTCACTAATGGCTTGGCACCTTGATTTCTATCATAGTGGCTTTCCAAAAGTTGCGGCTGATCTTTTCGGGGAGCACAGATAGCTGAAGGGAGGAGGACTAGGGTGGCAGACTTTGCTTAATTGAACTTGATCCAAGCCTAACAATTTTTGCATGTGGTATAGTTTCCATTTTATTAGATGCATGGAGTGCCGTCCTCGGTAGGCAGGCACATATCTTCATGGGTGCAGAGGAAAAGAAATGGCATGCAGCCCCGTTAGCTGGCAATGAAATGCAAAAAGTACAGCCTGAAATTCATGCCTTAAAGGTATGCAAACTTGAACCATTCAGGTGAAAGGAAAGTAACATGGATTTCAATCATCCCAACTATACCAGCCTGGTACAGGAGTCCTTGTCTTCTTTTACTTGTGGTCATCCTCTTTTTCTCCTAATACTCTTTTTTTTAATAAAAAAATAAAAAGGAAAGGAAAGGAGACAAAGCTAAATCCTAGGTGACTTGAGCTGTCGGAAAAGAGCTGTTAATGCTTTAAGCTTGTCAGAACTGGTTGATCACTTTGATTGTACTATGGAGCAAACCTTGTACCCCTTTTCTGGGGTTTTCACTATCCAGGGTTTGTTCTTGATAACTGCGATTTGTCGGGGATGGGAATTTCACCTCCCACCAGAACTGCAAGGATGGGAATCAGGTTTAACTCCAACCATAATTTCAGTAGTTGCAGCTCTTTGTTTTGTTTTCATTCCAGTTGGGGAGGGGCATTATGGTACTGCTCTTTTAGGGCACTGTGATGATAAGAGCAGAAATCACTCTCCACTCTTGTTACTGAGAAGGTGGGGGGGGCAGCTCATTCCTACTGATGGGGATCCCATAGGTTACTGCAATTTGTCTCTATGTACAGAATGAGCCAAGATGCAATAGGTAAGCCTTCTGCACATTCTTCACCTGTCACAATGATGGTAGGACTGGTCTAAGTCAAGGTGCCTTGTATCAAAGGCCAGCCAAGGGATTCTAGCATCTAAGGCAAAGTGCTTCTCCCACACCTGAAAAATGCTATAGCTGCTACAAAAAGTAACATCAGGGGCGGACTTGGGTAATACTGAACCCTGAGTGAAGACAAAATTTGGCACCTTTCCCTCTCTCACTTTCTGTTCTGCGCATGCCCCCAAGTACATGATGTCATTATTTTGCCCCCCCCTTTCATTGATACCTTGGGCAGAGGAACTGCCTGCACTGTCCTAAATCTGCTGCTGGCAAATTAAATAACCAGCAATTCTCTGCCCTTTCACTACACTGAAAAATTAGCTGCCTCACCAGAGTGGTGAGGCTGACTGGGTGTTTTGCTTGAAGTGTAGATCACATAGTGCTCTCTGAAGCACATCTGTAACACCAGGGTAGTAAATATTATCCCCACTTTACAATTGTCTCATTCCAGTCTCTACATTCATATCTTCTTCAGCGTAAGCCCGTGCATTATCCTTACTTAAAACTACCAGAAGTTCGGCTCTGCCCTCGCCGGTTCTGGAAGGATCTTTTGGAAAAGTCACATACGCTCAGAGACTTTGCGCCTGCCCATTAGGGGAAATGGGAAGCCTTGAACACTTATTTTTTAGATGTCCTTTTTATGATGAGGCACATCGACCCCCATCTGGTGAGGCTTGCTGACCCGCTGGACAAGCCTAAACTTCAATTTTCTCCTCTTAGGCAAAAATCACGAGACGACCAGGATGGTCGCCAGATTCTGTGCGCAGATTTGTAGGCGCAGAACACCCCCTGGAACAAATAGATTGCTAGGAAAACTGCTGTAGCTGGCCTCCTGGGTGTCCCAGGGTCAATCTGCATGTTATTTTAACCTTAGGTCTTTTTGTGTTCATGTGACTATTTCAATTTTAATCTATAAGCTGTTATTGTATATTGTTTCAAATGTCTATTTCACTCTTGTGAAAGCAGTCTCAGTTGTGCTTCTTGAACTGGTATTTGACCGTAATAATAAATTATTATTACTATTTCTACTTGAATACTGAACATGCCTAAACTCAGTGAGAAATACTTTAAGCAATTGAGGTTTGTCATTCAGCAAGTGAGAAGCAGCAGGATACTCAATTCAGTGTTGTACTCCTTATAATTCTGAATAGAGTTTGAGTCTCTTGGGTAGGGTCTCACTATAGTTCCAAGCTATATGTTGTTTTCTTGCTTCGCTCTCCATTCTCCCTCTTTTTCACCTTCAGTATTTTAACCAAGGACACTTGTGCTTCTCCATCCCGTGTGTAAGGCACATCTGGGCACTGCTTATCTGTCTGGTGGCAGTAAGCCTCCCTTGTCCTTCCCTCATTGCTCCCTCTGTAACTCTGTAAAGAAATGCTGGTATCTAAAGGCAACTATTTGGAACTTTTTATTTGCAAAACAAGGTATAAATTCAAATGCAGGGTTTCCCAAACTTGAGTCTCCAGCTGTTGTTGGACTACAGCTCCCATCATCCCTAGCTTCTGATAGTTGGCCTTGCCTCTCAGTTGATCAGGGTGGGGAACTGGTGGCCCTTCAGATGTTGTTTGACTTCAATTCCCATCATCCCCAGTCAGCACAGCCAATGGACAAGGATGATGAGAGTTGTGGTTCAACAACATCTGAAAGTTCATGAGTTGAAGTTCCTGCTCCCTTGGTCATAGAGCCCCATGAGAAGAGTTTGGCTAGGACCCTGAAATTAGCCAGGCCTTCACTGTGGGTAAACTGAAGTTTCTCTGAATGATGGAGTTACCCTGAAACAACAATAGTCCTATTCACACATTGTGATGAACAAAGAGGTGACTGGGGTGGAAGGATTATCCACATTCACACATTCAGCTGACCATGTATTTTTATTTATTTGAAATATTCATAGGCGGCCTTTCAGAGCAAAATGAGCTCATCTGCATGCAGCTGTGTGTGCACATCGCTCTTTCCAGCTTTTGTTGTGTACGCACACAGGTTACATGCAGATGTTAAGCAAAATGCATGAAGGTTTGGAGTGGAGTGGGGGTCAGCATGTTCAGTCCTGTTCCCCATCCACTCACCTCAAATACAACTTAACAGGGCTATCTCTCTGCAATAACAAGATAAATAGCTGGAGGGACATGTGGAATTCACTACAGAGGTGAAAAGATGAATATTGCATCATTATTATTTCTTAAATTTCTGACCCACCCTTCCTCTCCAAAGGGCGGCAGACAACGAAGTAGCAAAACAATACTGCTAAAAATAAAATGAAAACTTATTTAGGACATCTAAAAATATTAAGAGCATCTAATATTTTTTTTAAAAGGTCATATACCCTCATAGCTAATAATTTCACGGTTGCTGGGAACAGTGTCTATCTTTAAGCCATCAAGTGAGCAGAATTGTTAAAATTCTTCCTGAATGTTGTTAATGAGGACATTTCCACCGAGAACGAGTAGGCCCTTTCATGGGTCAACAGCAGCTGGGCAGCCGTGAAACCAACATTTGGGGGGTGGAATCTAATGAATGGTGAAATTGTCCATCAACCTTTGCCTAGAGCCAGGTTGATGTTTTGTATATTTAGTCAAGGCATTCTGAAGTGTGCCGTAAGTAAGCATCCAAATAAGTACAGTGGTACCTCGGTTTAAGAACAGTCCGGTTTAAGAACAATTTGGTATACAAACTTTGCAAAGCCGGAAATAGTGTCTTGGTTTGAGAACTTTACCTCGCTCTAAGAACAGAATCCGAACGGTGGAAGGGCACCGGTGGCGGGAGGGCTCATTAGGGAAAGCGCGCCTCGGTTTAAGAACAGACTTCCGGAACGGGTTAAGTTTGTAAACTGAGGTACCACTGTACACCAAGTAAGTATTTTGGTAACTTTCTAACCATAAACCTGTGATCATTTCTGTTGCTGATACAAATGTGTCACAAACAAATTCATTTCAATAGCTTTGTGGCATTAATTTCCGTCATTTTGACAAAAAATTCCCCCAAGCCATCCCAAAGATCTTGTAAATTGTCCCAGAAGACAGGGCAAGGAAGCAGGCAGAGCATTTGGGTCTTTATCTCTTGGCTCAGTGGGTAGTCTCTGTCTGTATCCCAATCAACAAACTTCTTTAAAACAATTGTTTCCCAACCTTTGGTCTCTAGCTGTTTTTGGACTACAATTCCCATCACCCCTGACTACTGATCTTGCTAGCTAGGGATGATGGGAGTAGTAGTCCAAAAACAGCTTGAGAGGTGTCTTCACTTATGCCCTCCCACTTAACTCCCACACTGAATGTACTATTTTGCGTTGTAGATGTGTGTGTTCCTTTTAATCGTGGAGCCCAAGTTTTATAACCTGTGTTGCTTGTCATACAAACGCCTTGATGGATTCTTCGTTAAAACATTTCTTCTCACTCAGTGACCAATTCAGGTATTATGACCTTGTAGCAGTTCATGCGAAGGATTATTTTTGGGGGGCAGGGGAGAAGGGTGGTTTGATATAGTCTTCCTTGTAATTCCCAAGATCTTACAAGTTAGGTGGCAACTGTAATCAATATGAAAAAGTAGCCTATTCAGGTTAGTGGATTTTCTTGGGGTGGGTGGGAGGTATTGACACTATATTTCCGCACCAACATACACCTCAAATGTGTTCATTGAAGACTGCAAAATAGGAGTTGTGCCTGGAGGAAATGTACACTCTGCCATGCCAAATAACTAAAGGAGGCTGTGACATCTCTCTGGAATGCCAGTGAGCACTGCTTAAGCCTCCCTGCTCTTTTTCTCCCTCCCCCCTCCACCACCAAGAACAAACTTGACAAAATCCTTTGGAGGACTTTGTCCAGTGCTAGGTGTCATTAAAAACCAGCAGAATTTATTTTGATGCTGTTGTTCTTTTGTTTTCAGAACTGGTAGAGGTGGATCAGAAGAAATAAAACGTTTCTGTCTGAAGTTTTTTCTTGAGTTGATTCTTCGAGCGGGGAAAGAGCTCCATTCCCTGTACTTTGATAGGTTTAATGAATGAGACGATATGGAGGGATGGGCAAGGAAGGAGAAGGCTGTCGAGAAAGATGAGCCTCAGGGGTGCAGGGAAAGGTGATTTAGGGGGATGCACAGGGGATAGAGAGGGGGAGATCATTCTGTTGTGCAAGAACAAATTCTGGTGGGAGCCAGTGTGGTGCAGTGGTTAGAGTGACAGACTAGGAGCTGGGAGACCAGGGTTCAAATCCCCAAGCTCTTGGGGTGACCTTGGGCCAGTCACTGCCTCTCAGCCTACTTTACAGGTTGTTGTGGGGATTAAATGTGGAGGGAGAGAACTCTGTATGCCACCTTGAGCTCCTTGGGGGAAATGGTGGAGTCTAAATGTCAGAGACCAAAATGGGCAGAGCAATGGCCAAACTGTTTTTTGCAGGTTTTAAAAGCAATTTGAAAACCTGTTTTACCAGCAGGAAAAACAAAATGAGTGTTCACACCACACAAGCCACATCTTTCTGTTGTGAAGTTCACAACACTCTTGTGAAACTCTAAAAAACCCACATGTACACAACCCTGTCACCAGCCTTTACAGGCATTTACTCAAGGCAGGGATTATTATGAAGATAATGAAATAAAGCCAACGTCTGAACTGGATATGCAACAACTGGGAAAAGGTCCAGCTTTGCAAGGAGGCAGAGCCAAAGATTTGGCGCTACTTTCCTTGTGTGAACTGTGCCATCTCTGCAGTGTCTGGAATGCTTGGCTTACAAATGCGAATAATATGACAGTCCTGTTCTCATGCTTACAATATAAAATACATGGCATAAGAGGAGAAGGGATCAGGAGGGAGGAGGAAATGAGCAATGTTTCTTAGTTACTGAATTCTTGCAATGGCTAGCTGGAATTGAAATATTTCAAGGAGAGGAGGAGTAATAGTGTTGGGTAGAACTGCTGGAAGGATTTCCAAAAGGATATCTGCTCAGGAACTCTTGATTTCTTTTAAAATCTCATATTTATCCATTACATCCTCGCAAGAACCCTGTGAGGTAGCTTGGGTTGAGAGACGGAGACTTGCCCAAAATCATCCAATGAGCTTTGTGGCTGAGTGGAGATTTGAACCCTGGTCTCCAAGCTCCTGTTCTGACACTCTAACCACTACATCACACCAATTATAAAGCCCTTGGTTTTTTCTCTCTTCCTGATGGGTCTTATTACTCACCTCATGACTGTTGCATGGCTTACTATTGCATGACTCTAAATGCAGAGAGAAATGGAATTTGCTGCCAAGGAGTGTGGTGGAGTCTCCTTCTTTGGAGGTCTTTAAGCAGAGGCTTGACAACCATATGTCAGGAGTGCTCTGATGGTGTTTCCTGCTTGGCAGGGAGTTGGACTCGATGGCCCTTGTGGTCTCTTCCAATTGTATGATTCTATGATTCTATAAATGTTTGAGATTTGAGATGCTGGGACTTAACATTAAGGGAGAAACTGACAGCCCATGTCCAAGAGAGCCGAACAGACAATAAAGTCTACTTTTGAATCAACCTGGCATAGTTTTACTTAGTATTCAACATCCACAGAACACATGGTTATAGGCAGTGCTTTTTTTTCTTAAAAAAATGCCTAGGGGTACTCTCATTTTCCTACTCTCATTGAAATACTTCCCCTCAATGAGGCCAAACTTAGATTCACAAAATGTTTAGGGGTATGTGTCCCCCTGCATCTCCCCAGAAAAAAGCACTGGTTAAAGTCCTCTGGGAACACAGGGCAACTTGTGGAATGAAACTTTGCTTTAAAAGCTGAAATGACTTAAAAGTTAAATGTAATTAAATAGACATTTGGTGCTTGGGAGGAGAGAGTTCTTGAATATTGACTGTTGTACAGAAGGTGGGTTTTTTGGGTTTTTTGTTTTTTTTTTAAAGAGCATGGAATCCAGGGATAAAAGAAAGATGGAGGGACCCCGCCCCCCAACACACACCATGTTCTGTAATGTTGGAGACTGATGTGCTTTCTTTATCGCCATCAAAGGAGCTTCAGTAGTTATCTTGGCAGCTGCGAGCTGGTCTCTGCCAGGGCTGTGTCCTGATGGCTATCTGTGATTCAGCACCACCCATCTACTCAAGAATCCACTGTTCACCTCAGGTTGACTTCATCTGACTGTGCTAGTTACTTCTCTCTCTCTCTCTCTCTCTCTCTGTGTGTGTGTGTGTGTGTATGTGTAGCACATCATTCATCATTGTAACAACCATAGGCTTTTTGGCTTTTTCTTTAAGGAGACCCCCCCCACCTCAAACTGTGTTCCTTTTGTTGTTAAATTGTACTTCTGGCCACAATTGAATGTGTGTTTTGTTTTTCTCCCACGTCTTCTCCTCCACCCCCATCCTTTAAATAATATTTTTGTTATCCGTGAAAAACGAGAGGGCGGGGCTTGGGGGATAGATGTTGCATTGTTTTTATTATATTTTCAGTTATTTATGCAACTCCAGGGGCACATCAGCAAAGAACATCCGCGGGTGGTGCCTAATAAATTAAAAGTGTTGTTCTATCGTTCTGGAGAGTAGAAGCACATTTGTTTTGTTTGCCTTTTCTCAGGAAAAAAAAAATTAAGTCCATAAACAAGATGTAATTTTATTTATTTATTAAATTTATATACGGCCCTTCCAAAGGAGCCCAGGGTGGCATATATGACTCTTTAAAACATTCTTTTGAAGTTTCCTTTAAACCAAAACTTATGTTAAATAGATTCCCACCCACGTCTTCTGCCAAGGGGCATTAGACAGGTTGTCATCTTCATACTCTCTTGTGTGTCGCTTTACACACAATGGGGCAAGTGTGTGTATGCATGGAGGAAAGTAAAAGATGAGGCACCATGTCCAGGTAGACAAAATCCATTAAATAATAATAAAAAGTCATGCTGAAGTTTCATTGATGATGAGACTGCAATTAGTCACTGCTAACTTGTCATATTGAGACAAATATGACTAACTTTTACCTGGATTTGGGCCATATTTTTTTTTTCTAAAGTAAAAGCTGAGGGTCTCAAAATGCCAAATTAATAAAGGCTGTGCTCTTTCAGTTCTCAAAATATAGGCAATTCCATTCTTCTTAGCATTGTGGGTCGGAAGAACACCACCCAGGAGCATCCACCATCTACCCTAACATCTCTGCTCTTGTCCCTGACAACATACTGATGTCTGTTGTTGCTTCTGTATGTGTACACAATACAGTGATACCTCGGGTTAAGAACTTAATTCGTTCTGGAGGTCCGTTCTTAACCCGAAACTGTTCTTAACCTGAGGTACCACTTTAGCTAATGGGGCCTCCTGCTGCTGCTGCTCCGCCACTGTGCAATTTCTGTTCTCATCCTGAAGCAAAGTTCTTAACCCGAGGTACTATTTCTGGGTTAGCGGAGTCTGTAACCTGAAACATCTGTAACCTGAAGCGTATGTAACCTGAGGTACCACTGTACTAAATATTTTTGTATAGATATGTGTTACACATTATCCCCTGCCCCCTGAAATCTCTTCTGTGGATTAGTGACTTCCATTTAGATTGTGTGAATGTGTGGCTTTACAGACATTGCTGAACTCCCAGCTCCCATCAGCCCAGCCAGCATAGCCAGTGGTCGGGGGTAGTGGAACCTGGAGTCCATCACTGTCTGGTGGGCTAACAGCAGGCATAGGCAAACTCGACCCTCCAGATGTTTTGAGACTTCAATTTCCATCATCCCTGACCACTGGTCCTGTTACCTAGGGATGATGGGAGTTGTAGTCCCAAAACATCTGAGGGCCGAGTTTGCCTATGCCTGGGCTACAGGTTCCCCACCAGGCTTGATTCAGATAATAAATGTTCAGACATTTTTTGTTGTGCAAAAACCGCCTTGAGAGAAACAGCAATGTGTTGAGATGAACAGGCAGGCAAGGAAATTTGGCACTGGAGAACGTCGTGTTGTTTTCTTTGACATTCCCCTCCAGGCATCTTTTTTTTCCTTTTTGCTCACTTATTAGAGAGATAGGAACTTAGGAGAATGGCCTGAGCTGAGTGCCTGCCTGTAGCACTTCTGCATCAAGTGACATTCCTGTTAGCCCTCATTATGGCCTTAATCCGGGGGAAGGCATGAGAGTGATTCCTCCTCTGTGAAGCAAGTCATCTTAGTGAGTTGCAGGAGAAGGGGGAAAAATCAGTAGGATGAGGGTGATCTCATTGCTTCCTCTCTTTTCTGCAACGGCTGGGTGAGGAAGTCCTTTTTAAAATATAAGCATGTCCAGTGTAGCTTGGAGATAGCTAAAGAGGGTCTGGCTCATGTTTCCACAAAACTGCTCTGGCTTAAAGTTTGACAAGTCGGAAACTCTGGGGAGATAGCCAGCATCCTGAGGAAGCGAAATCGGCTCCGAAATCTGTGATGTCATTGGCAAACAAAACAAAGGAGCCCCAGGAAGGTACAATGTTTTCCCAGCCTTTTTAACTCTTGCATCAGATTAGAAAGGCTGCACGTTCAATCTCAGCCAGTTTCTGATGGGAAAGCCCGGGGGTCCACACTGTTCGTTTTCTTGCTTTGTTTGCTGCTCAGTTGGCATTTGCTTTTAATGCACACTACATTGCCTGCTTGAGATTATAATTATCAGCCCCTCCAGATGTCCTTTTTATTGTGCATTCATGATGATTTGCACCCATGGAGGTTTTGGGGCAGTTATACGTGTTACAGAAAGCTAACCCCATAACTGCTGTCAATAAAGGCTTAAAGGATCTTTGTAAGGTAGAATTTCAAGACCTTAAGAGAGGTGCAGAATAGGGAATTAGAATGTTTAGTACAGCTTAAACAATGGAAAGCGGCTTTATCATTTGTATGGAATGTCCCTTTAGATTTGAGATTGGTCCAGCAAAATTTAATGTTTTGGGTATATTGGACTCCACAACCGTTTGTGGAGACAGCAGTGGGAGGTGTAAAACTGAAAATGCCTCTTTGAGGCATATGATGTGGGCTTGTCCAGTGACGTATTCTTTTTGGTCTGAACTCATCCGTATCAATTGTGTATTGGCGAAATCCTAAAGGTTTACAGATGTTCATGTACTTTGAAATGTCATTCCTATAAAATGGGGATTAGCAGCAGGACACCAAAAGCCCTTAAAGTTGTTAGGAGATTTTGAGCCTGGAAGGATAAATATCTCCTGTCATACAATGATCTGAGGATCTCATTGCCCTGGCTACATGTGAACGTTATTTCCTATAGACATCAATTTCATGTGGCTATCTATGTGGACATTTGGAGGCCTTACATTAATTGATATATTTAATGGATGTACTGACAGTTACTGCATCCTTTTTATATGGTCTTCTTTTTCTTTGTTAAATTTGCAAATTAAAAATTAATTTAAAAACCCAATTTTCTCACAGGATGGTATCAAGGCAATCCTGCTTTCAATACAGTTTGTGTTTGTAAAGATTTTGGGGCAGGCATATGACTTATTCGTAATCTTTTCATGTCCCATAGCTTCATGTTGAAATCCTGTAATTTTTCATACCACAAAAATTAGGGGTTTTGTTTATTTTTGCCCCACTTTTGCTGTGTTATACACTGGGGAAGCATTGCAGAACAATGAATACAGCAGAATGATGTGCACATGGGCCAGTATAAATCCATCATGGTTATGAAGAGATGCTGCAGAAAACACTTGCAAAAAAATAAATAAAATCACACCATTTGAGGGTGGGGAATTTATGTCAAATGGTATAAAGGGGGCAAATGAGATCAGGTGGACAACATTGTTTCCATGTGCTGCTCCCTGCTTCTGTAAACTGTAGGAAGTTTTAGGGACATCAGATTTATTTCTGTTTGAGAGTAGCGGTGATTGTGGACATTTTTGTGATAGCTGCTTGTTTTCAAAAATACAGGTTGAGTAGGAGAGCAGGCAGGCAAGCAGACTGATGGTACTAATCTTGAATGCAGCATCACTTCAGTTCTCCAGAAGCAAAGCATAATGTGTATGGTTCCTTCCCGCTAGCTCATATCTCCCTTGCCAGAGAAACATTCCAACTCTTCTAGCCTCCACCCGTATGTATGTGGTGTGCCACAAAAATTACCTCCTGCCATAAATACTTACACGAGCAAGGCTTTCTGGCTAGCGAAAGCGATTGAGCAGAACATCTGCAGCTGGCTCTAGAAAAGTCCACTGACCATTAGCAAACAGTCCACTGTTCAAAAAGATCATCTTCTCTCGTAGCTTTGACACAGTCCAAACAGTCCTTTTGTTTCACCATCATTTGGAGAGCTGCAAACGAGTTGCCTTTCCGTGTCATTTGGGAGGCGATGAACAAGTTTCCTGTTTAACACTTTGAATATCATTTTCTGGAGCACAAAGGACCTGTTGGGCATGTGCAGGAGAAGAGTTCTTGTGCCAATACAGAGTTCTGCAAATATTTAAGAGATTGAAGTCTAGCCAGATGGGTTGGGAATCAGATCAGAAATGCATGAGTCTGGGTTGCCTGTTACTTGTTTCATTGTTTCTTATCCTGTGTATTTGTGTGTTTCTCATCTCATGTTCAGGCTTAATTCCACAGCATTTAGAAGAACGAAGCTCCACTGGGGCAGGCTGGGGGAGAAAGATATTTTTGACAGGGCTTGTTTTTTCATTTCATGAACTTCCAAAGCCAGCAATACACATCTAAAAGTACTGATACTGCAATCACCCCCCTGCGGCTTTGGCATTTCAGACCAGAGTAGGAATTCAGCCAGATATTAGCACACACTCATACTGTCCCTGCTATTGGGTTTGTGAACGTGTGTTGGGTGAGGCAACATCTTCACTGAGGGATCTTTCCTGTGTGCCTTCCATGTTTAGAGAATGGCTACATAGCAGTATGAGCCAGAACCAGCTTGTTGTATAATATAGAGATCCATGATGTAATTATATTTATTTGTAAATGATGTAACTAGATTTGGGGTCAATATAACCAATCTGGGGGAGTAGAGAGGGAATAAAAGGTTGAATATCTGATACAATGGCCACAGTTTACTTGTAGTGCTCATACAAACTATGGCTTAGGGAAGGGGGGAATGTACAGGGACATTGTATAATATTTAGTTTCCATATAGGTCTACTATATGGAAAAAGAGACAGAGTGGGGTGGAGAGAGAGGACAATGAAAGCAAATAACATGCCTGCCAAGCTTAATTACAAAACACATAGCAGATTATAAGACTGCATGTGATCTTATTGGTTGTAAGTCATTTTGGGTAGCCTTGCGCAAGATAAGTGACTAACAAATGTAGTCATCATCGTTGTTGTATTTTTGTTATTTCAGAACCTAATACAAAGAATGACATTTTAAAAATAAAGTTCTTACTTCCTTTTCTGCTGTCTCTGTTTTTCTTGTGTGCAAATGTGCAAATGAAAATCAAGTTATGCTGACGCAGCCCATTAGTCCATCTATCTCCATATTGTCTGCACTGACTGAGAGCAGCTCTCCAGGGTTTTAGGCAGCGAGTCTTTCCTAGCTGTACCCAGATTTGCCCATGATTGAAGCTGGGAACTTCTGCATGCCAAGCATGTGCTCTCATTGAATTCCATTTCGGCACATATTTCAGTTCTCTATTTCCAACATAAACCTTCACATATCCCTGGTTCCATCCCTTCCCTAAGAATCCTGGGGATCATAATTCAGGGAGTTTAAGGTATCTAACAGAGAAATCTCTGCATTCCCACTGAACTGCAGTTCCCAATGGTTTCTTGTGGTGAGCTGCAAAAATGATGGTGATGCTATATTTATTTATACAGCACTAATCAGGGTGCTTTGCATAAATTATTCTCACAGTATCCCTATAAAGTGGGTCCCTATGCTGCAGGTGGGGAGGCTGAATTAGGGGCAGAAGTGAGATTTACCTGCTTTACTACATCAGTTCTTAAGTTTAGATTTACAGCTCAAGTTTGGGTCTTTTTGTTCTTTACACTGGGGTGACCTCTTTCCCCTTGGCAATATGAAACCCAAGGTACCATTTCCAACTTCCAAGATGAGAATCCTGCTCCCAAAGAGACTATCTTGGAGTAGTTTGTGTCTTTCAAACAGTATTTGTTTATCACCCTTCACAGCTAGCTAGCCAGGTTTCTTGAAAGTCTGCATAGTTATCCTGGGATGGTTTTCATCACCTTGCAATTTTGCTGCTAATGATTTACTTCCACTGCCAATTCCTGGGGTATCTCAAGAGCTTCTTAGATCCTATTTTCTGCCCAGGCAACAGTGTGTCAATGGCCGGAAAATGGACACTGCACACACAACCATTCCTGTTAATTTATATACCACCAGGAAAAGCACATTTCTTCCTTGCACCTGTGACCTGTCAACGCCATGCTGTTGTTTTACGGTGCTCAAAGTGGATCTTCCTCTTGGAGGGCGAATTGTTCTAGCAGCCAGCTGTTCGTCCATGTTCTGTACTTATGAGTTCCTCGCACAGTCCCAGGTGTTTATGCTTGAAAAAACACTTAGGGATGGAGAAATAATTGCAAGTTGCCCTGAACCAACCTCCCCATCTGTTAGAAGGCTATACCAGAATTGGCAGTTCTTCCTTCTCTTTGCCACCTCCCTTCAAGAATGGGACTCCTTGCATTTGCAGCGTCTGCTGCAACTGACAATGACTTGTTCCTGTGTGGATTTGGCTGCTTTCAAACTTCTGCTGTGCCTCCAAGGACTACTTAGACTAGTTCAGCTTATCCCTCCAGGTCTCTCTAGCTGGTCCTCAGGCCTCTTCTTAGCCACAGCCCCTCTCTCCAGGCTGCCCCCTGGACAGTCCCTGCTTTACAGCCTCCTCGGATGTTTTTGCTTGGCTGGCACATATCCGTGAATTCAAATAACACATCTTGTTTGCCTGGATGGAGTACAGAGAAGGGAGTGTCGAAAGTTCCCTAACGTGAAAAGAGTGGAGTTTTCCATTTGTTGCTCCACGCACTTTTGTCTCTGGCACCACTTTGTTCTGACATGTGGCCCCACAAAGGTTGCCCAGAAAGGAATGTGGCCCTTGGAATGAAGATGGCTTCCTGTCTCCAGCTGTTTTTGGACTATAATTCCCATTAACCCTAGCTAGCAAGACCAGTGGTCAGGGATGATGGGAATTGTAGTCCAAAAGCAGCCGGAGACCCAGGTTTGGGAAACACTGGACTAGATGGTGAGAATGATCCTTTTCAAAGCAAAGATGGTCATGCCGTTAAACCACAAAAGTTGATTCTGCATTTGTGTGTGTTTAAATCCGCTGTACAATAAACCTTGTGTGACGAACGCAAGTGTTAGACCAGTCTTTGCCAACCTGGTGCCCTCCAGATGTTATGGACTGCAATTTCCATCAGCTTCAGCCAGCAAAGGCTGTGTAAAACACCTGTGAATTCAGACAAGAAGGAGATGTTAATCTTTGCAGTTTTGTCTCTCCTCGTTCCCCACATGTTTTTCCCTTTAGGATGCATATCTATCACCAAATGGCTGTGGTGTCCAGCATGGTGAAATGGCCATCATAGATCAGACTCTCTAGGCCAGGGGCCAGCAACCTTTTTCAGCTGTGGACCGGTCCATCGTCCCTCAGACCATGTGGTGGGCTGGACTATATTTTTTTTTTGGGGGGGGAATGAACGAATTCCCCACAAATAGCCCAGAGATGCATTTTAAATAAAAGCACACATTCTACTCATGTCAAAACACCAGGCAGGCCCCACAAATAACCCAGAGATGCATTTTAAATAAAAGGACACATTCTACTCATGTAAAAACATGCTGATTCCCGGACCGTCCGCGGGCCGGATTGAGAAGGCAATTGGGCCGCATCCGGCCCACGGGCCTTAGGTTGGCTACCCCTGCTCTAGGCAAAGCTCTAGGCAAAGCTTACCAAGTGTCTGGCATTGCCGCAATGGCAACTTTTTGCAAAGGACGTTTCATTTCCAGGTGCAAGAGCTAAGGGATGCCCATGCACACGTAACTCTCCTTTTAAAAAGCAGCTGCAGGGAAAGTAACATTGGAGTTGGCTTTGTGGTCTTTGAATTTCCAAAGTCCTGTCTTTCCTTTTTCTTGTTGTATGGTTGGCTTTTACCAGGGCTGAGAAATGCTATGCACCTGGGTGTCTATGAAGTTCAGGTGGGCATCTAGGCATTTAGTAATTTTCTCCCCAGAGCTGCAGAGGATTCAGGAAACAGTACAGCAAAACAAGTGGGTAGACCCAGCCACACGTGGCCAGAAAAGACACATGACTTATGCATGGACCTTCAAGTTGGTCATGCTAGCAGAGGCATTTGATGTGGTTGACTCTTGAGTTATTCAAGTGTATCATTGCTGGGCTTTTGCCTTTGAAATGTACTACCAAGTGTTCTTACATTATGCATAAGGAAGAGCTACAAAATGTATTAAATCTCAGCCTTTTATACTAGTCCAAGACCATTCAAGATAACTTTTATCTCTTTGCCATGAATGCTCTGGGTTAAAATCCCACCTCAGTCATAGACTTGGTCGACAAGTAATAGAAATTCAGGGATCACAATTCATTGGCACTCAGCCTCAATTCCCTAAGTATGTAACAGTAGCAGCGTACCTTGCATGGAGATTGCAAGAAGTAACCAAATAAAGATGGTAAAGCACACTTTATGTTAACAGAATTCTATAAATTATTATAGATTTGATGGCGATTTAATGAAATCTCTCTGCATGCAGTTAGATCTTTTATATATGTATATATAAACTGGGGCTGGCTGTCTGCTTTGGAGTTGGACCAATATGCCTTTCTATACTCACACAAGTCCTTTGCGTTCTCTTTTTTTTAGTGATGGGCCCAGTTCGAGAGAACTTCCAGGGGTACCAAGGTGAATGAAGCCAGTGCAACATGTTCAGCGTAGAAGATCTCCTGATTTCTCATGGATACAAATTGTCTAAAGCCCCCACCAATTCATTTGAGAACAGAACTGATGGATTCCAGCAAGAGATCACAGATAGGAGAGTTTGTCATAGAACTGTGAATGGGTTCCCGACAAACTCTGGAGCCAGTGTTGGCAGCAAGAAGACAGTAGCTAAAAGCTACCTGAATGACAATGAAGCTAGGCATGCCATCCAAGGGAGGCAACTGGGTCCCAGTTACCATAAAGACTTCTCGAGTTTGGCTAATACTCATGCTTCAGAAGGACGGTAAGATCCCCACTTCCAAGATTTTCTTAGACATGTACAAATTCAAGCCAAAGTCTCAGTTTAGCTTTCCAACAGCCTTGATTATGTTAAGAGCAACTATTCATTTGTTCTGCTTGTGACCACCTCCAGCCTTGACAACCAGTGGTTGTTTTTGCTAATAATACCCTCTTTGTGTCTAGCCCTTAATCAGAACAGGACAGAGAGAGACTTTGGAAAGATCCAAAGCATCTCTAAATAAGTGAGTTTCTTTGCTTATTATGCGATCAGTCTGTTGGTGGTTCTAAGTGAGTATCTCAGTAAGATTGTGATGCAGAGGATGTCCAGTCGGAGACTGGATTTTCTTGAGTTGGCTTGTCAAAAGCTTGGAGGACAGGGGAAAATAAGAACTGAGGAATGTAGGATGGTATGAACAGCTGTCTTATTCCATTGGTCCATCAAGCTCAGTATCGTCTAAACTGATTGGCAGATGCTCTCCATGGGTTGCAGGCAGAAGACACCCCCATCCTTACCTGTAATGCAGGGGGTTGAATCCTGAGATCTTCTGTATGCAAAGCAACCAGTGCGGTCAGGCCAGGATTGGTGTTGCGTGCTCAGACCATCTTTCTACCATGAGCAACCTGGCCGCTGAATTCTGCGCCAGCTGAAGTATCTGAATCATCTTCAGAGGTCCCTCTTTTAAATTAATACTTGATCAATGCCATTAATCAGTTAGTGCATTTTGCATAGTGAGCTTTAAAAAAATGTTACAGGAGTATAATGGGTAGATAAGAGAAAGAGAGAAATTGTTTGGGGAACCATATTGAAGTAAAGAAAGAAACCCTTATTAATAATAATTATAATTATAATTATATTTGTGCCCCACCCATCTGACTGGGTTGTCCCAGCCACTGTGGGTGTCTTTTTCTCAGTACATATTTTACCTTAGTACAGCAGTACAGGTAGATTCAACCCAAACTCAGCCTTTATATGTTGCCCCCTTTTAGGGCGCAGACGTTCCTTTTAAATTAGTTTTATACCAGTGAAGTCAGCTGTGTGTGTTCTGTCCAAAGAGGGTCGTCTTTTCTTGGAAGCATTTGCGGAAGGTCTCGTGAAACTAACTCCACCCTGTGGATAGCTTTGTCACCACTTCAGAAAATGGTGCCGTTACGGTTGCGCTTCCCTGCGGCCGACTGTCCATGTACTTTTGAACTGGGACAAATCGTCCTGGAAGCGGGGTGTGGGTGGGTGTTTGTGTTTGGCGGTGGACACATAGCAACTCTGCTTTGGCAGCCGTCTGCCAGCGACAAAATTTTGAACAAAAGGAAAGGCAGAGATTATTTTAAGGGACAAATGCTGAAAATACAGGTTGTGCTCAGACAAAAATGGAAACGAGCACTCCGGAACAAATGCTTTCTCTCTCCCCCACCCCACTGTCACTCCTTCTGCTAATGCAGGACTTTAAAAGTGTTTCAATCCTGGTTAAGTAAATGGAACCCATCTCTAGGTTTCAGTGCAGTGTTTTCCATCACTTTTTTCTTTCTTTCTTTTAACGTGGAAAGCAGTTTGTGCAAAATGACCTCGATGCAAAAAGAGTGACAGCTCAAGATAGATAGAGCTCGTTTTCAAGTCTTCCGTCTCCTGTTGTCATTCTGGGGAAAGACTGCAGTGCGTAGTTAAACTATGGCACTCACTTCCACCGGAGGCAGCGATGGCTTTAAAAAAAGGGATTGGACAAATTGGAAGAGATGGCTCTTGATTGCTGCTAGTCGTGATGGCTGTGCTTCACCTTCATCACTAGAGGCAGTAATGCCTCCAAATACCAGATCATGGAAACCACAGGAGAAGAGAGTGCTCGATTCCTGCTTGTGGGTTTCCCATAGGCATCTGGTTGAAAAGGATGCTGGACTAGATGGACTTGATCCAGCAGGCTCTTCTTTTATTCTTAGCTCACTAGTAGAGCATCTGCCTTGCACACAGAAGGTCCTGAGTTCAATCCTGACAACTCCACGTGGGCCTGGGAGAGACCCATTGCCACTCATTGTAGACAGTACTGAGCTAGATGGATGGACCAGTGTTCTGACTCAGCTTCCCATGTTTTACACAAAACCTTAAGATTCAGGTAGGTAGCTGTGTTGGTCTGACAGTCGAATAAATTAAGAAATTGTCCAGTAGCACCTTAGAGGTCAACTATGTTTGTTCTGGGTATAAGCTTTTGTGTGCATGCACACTTCTTCAGATACTTATACCCAGAACAAACTTCGCTGGTCTCTGAGGTGCTACTGGACAATTTTTTAATTTTTTAATTTATTTCGACTGCGTCAGACCAACACTGCTACCTACCTGAATCTAGAATCACGGAAGGCACCACATTGAGTTGCATGAAATGGAAGTCCATCTGGTATCTGAAGAAGTGTGCATGCACACGAAAGTTTATACCCAGAACAAACTTAGTTGGTCTCTAAGATGCTGCTGGACAATTTTTTAATTTATACAAACCTTAAGATACAGAATGATCTGAAGGCACATGAGGATCCAGTCAGCAGTTGGACTAGGAGAACACCTGAGAATTTTCTGTGTGCCACCTTGAGCTCAACTGAGGAAAGGCAAAATAACTAATGTAACAAATGCATCTTGTATTAATCATTCCTCTCTTTGTTGGACCTTCTTGCTTCCATGGATAGAGCTCTCCAGTCTTATTAGCAGGTCATAAAAACACACTTTCTACATCTTTTGATGATTAGAACATCCTCTGACCTTTAATGAAATTGACACAAATGTGATAATTTCAAAATGCTGATGGTGGTCAATTGCACACTTCATTTAAGTGAGAGATCCTGGCTCTAATCCAAACCATACTAAGCATTCTTGTTCATGGTGTGATTTTATTTATATAGCCTGGACTAATCTTGTACGTTGTTGACATGATCGTGCTCTCATTTCTGGCCCCTGGAAGAATGTAATTTTCCATCCTGAACATTTTGCCCAGATGATTTCATTTAATCTTTCTGATGAAAAATATATATTATCTCAGTTTGGTCTATGAACAGTTTTGCTTGATAGGATGAATCTATGCACGTAACAAAAGTGATTGAACAGTGCTTAGAATGAGGATTATTGGCAGCCAGATGTGTATGTGTGCATTTCATTTTTAAAAAAAAAATAATCTTTTTGGGGGGTGCATTACATTTTCATTTTTGAATATTTCTGTTTTTAAGAGGAAGGGAGTCATTGGATTCCCCATCCATGGACAATTCTTCCTCTCACTCACGAACAACCTCCACACATTTGGATTGACAGGAATGGAAGAAAACGATCCTATCTGAGCTATATTCTTACCCTGTCAGTGAAGTTTGATGTTTCTTTTGGCTTATACTCAATGGCAGTTACATGTCTGATCCTCCAGTTTGCAGGAATACTAACATTGCATCTTGATGTGCTATAGAGAGTTGACAGTTTTAGGAGTTTGTATGGATTTCTCACTAAGAGACAACTCATAAGTTGCAGACTTCCAATGCAGAAATCACTTCCATGTTAAGAAATACCATGAAGTTTAGGAAATGTGATTATGCAAAGGAATGTTATGCATGCAGTTTTACAACATGTATGCACTGCAGTAAAATAAAATGTCTTGTAAGTAAAGAACTCTTTTGTAGTTCCTCATAGAAAGATCACGTGCATCATATCTGTGGGGATGTTGGGATTAGAAACAAGCTCATGATTCTGGGTGGCAGAGATTCTATTTTTAATTATGGAGGAAAAGAAAGCTTGTTTGTTTGTTTTTGTATGGGCCTCTTTAGTAAGATTTCATTTTGTTTTTCAGGTTTTATGACCGACCGCAGTTAGCCTGGCCTTCACGTCCCAAGACGGATAAAGATCTTGCCTACTGGAGAAGAAGGGGCCAAGATTTTAGTGTATTGTTGGGTTATACTGACAGAGGAGACTCTGAAATGAAAGGCATGGCAGTGCCCTGTGCCTTGTATGGGCTTGATAAGGAAAGTCAGTGGGAGGTAGGAGGTGGAATGGAGAATATGAGGAGAACTGGCATGCAGGAGACCTGGAATGCCCCTGGGGACTACAGGTGGCAAAGTCTAAGGACAGAAGGTTGGAACCAACCAACCAACTTTGGAGGACTCATGACAGATGGTGACAGAGAAAGGCTGCTTCAAGAGATGTATTCGGTGAGAAGAGGAGGTACTGCCATTGCCTCCCATGCGAAGGGGAAATCGCAATCTTTGCCAAGAGTTCTTTCACCAGAGAGCCTGCGGTGTGTTGAAATGCCTTCCTTGGTCAACAGCAAGCATTCGCTCCGTGGAACTAAAGCGACATCTTGCCCCCCAACTGGGTTCGGCTTGGAGACCTCCAAACACCCTGAGCCAGTGGCCCACTTCCATCCCTTGCCCAAGCCTAAGTACGGCAGACCCCTGAAGCCCCCGTCATACGAGCTGCATCAGCAAACCAGGGGAAACCTAGAAGCCGGCTCGCTCCAGGATGACCAGCGGAAAGATGAAGCCATCTCCTCTTTGACCAAAGCAAACGATCAGATCCAGGATGCTTGCAGCCAAGATGCTGGTCTGGAGCCCCCTTTGTACATACCCCCTCCCTGTTACAAATCTCCAGCTCAGCAAAGTATGAGCCGGCATTTGCCTGGTGAAGTGCCTGACTATGATATGTGCTTTAGTAATGGTATGCAGAGTCCAGTGGAGAGAACGAGAGCCATGCTTGGCTACCATCCCTCTGCTAGTACCTACTGCAAAGGTGAGCAGGTTCCTCGTGACAAGAAAAGCCACCCAAGGCATGGGGAGGGCTACCTGTCTTCCGTCCAGTACATTCCTTTTGATGACCCTCGAATCCGGCATATTAAAGTAGCGCACCAAGACAGTCTTCAGGACGATGAGAAATACGCTGTGGATACAAATAGGACAGGCTCCCATGCCTTCCAAGAGAGCTCTCTGGAACGAGAGTACAACAGTGCCTTTTTCGACTCGCTAAATACTGCTGTGAAATGTGACCAGGTCCCTGGCAGTTCTGCACACGGCAGCAAGTGGCTAGCTGAGTCCAGCGTCGATCAAGACAGTTGTGCCTTGCCTATCCAAAGAGACAGTTATGACGCAGGTAATGGCTTGGATCACAGATACCCAAAAGGCAGGCTGTCTGTCCAAAGCTCACAGATGGAAACCCCCTGTGAGACCGTCACGAAAGTGAAAACGTTTGAACCTGGGACTGAGATTCAGAGCAAGAGGAGTTCAAAGAAAAAAACCAATGAGACAATATTTTGTTTGGTCTCCGTCCCAGTTAAATCTGAACTGAACCTGCCTGATACCGATAGGAACAACAACTTAACCCAGGGAGCCGAGGAGAAGAATGGGTTTGACGATAGCGGGGGTCTGCAGGAACAAAGCCTCCTCAGTACCTCTTCCACTGACTTGGAGCTCCAAGCCCTTACAGGAAGCATGGCCAATAAGAATGAGCTACAAAAACAGGAGTTGTGGTGGAGACCAGAGTTCAAACAAACGAATGACCTCAGATTCCTGCAGCCTGCAAAGCACAAGGAGCTCCAGTACTCTGGCTCATGGCCAGGTGATCAGTACAAAGACCAGCAAACGCAGACCAGCTTCACAGAAGAACCCAAAATCTTGTGTCATCGTCTCCAACGCTTAGAACCCAGCGGCTCAAATACAGTGACAGCTTCGCAGTTGTCAAGATGTGGGGCGTCCACTGCGGAAGCGGAACATCTATCTGTGTTACCTGCCGATGACAGAAAATGTAGGCAGGTTGCACTCAGTGCAAAAGCTCCAGGGTATCTTGACAAAGCTAGCAATAATGTGTGTTCTCGGACTGCAGTCCTTAGCCCAAAGGCAAGCCAGAACCTGCCTTGTGCTTCATGCACCCCTCTCCCTGGGCAGGAAAGAGAAACTAGTTGTCTCATCAGGGAGGAAGGAGGCTCCCCTTGCAGTAGTAAGGAGCTGTTTGGGCAGTTCCTCTTGAAACCTGTTAGCCGCCGTCCTTGGGATATAATAAGTGAGCTGGAAAGTTTTAACAAGGAGCTTCAAGAGCAGGAAGAGCAGGAAGAACAAAGTGAAGATGGGGTAGAGAATGAGAGTGTGGAGAATGAGGACAGCCAGGTATCAGAAAGGGAGAAAGGAGAGAGGACAGATAGCAGTGGGACCTCTAGGATTGATGGGCCAACCCAGGACCATAGACCTGGCATACAATCAGAAACTCTTATATCAGTCACTCCTATATTTAGACAGGAGAGGGATAAAGCCAAACCTGAAAGTTTAAGTGCATCTGAAAGCTCAAGTGCAAGGGTCATATCTTGTGCTAGGTCCCAAAGCTGCTTGCAGGCAAAAGAGGTGGGTGGTTCAGTTAAGGCCACGAATGAATATGTGGTTGCAGAATCAAGGAATCAGGAAGCTGGGAAAAGGACAATAAAACAGGCTGTGAGTCCACACCCAATCAAAAAAGTTCTGCCGGGCAGCTATGACGATGAGGATCACTACAATCCATTCAACAGCATTACCTTCACTGAGGAAATACAAGTTAAGAATCACAGAGACAACATCAACTTTGGTAGGCTGACAAAAAATGCAGTGCCGTGGAATAACTTGGCTTTGGACAGAGGGTCTGTAGGGCGATTGTCTTTAACAAATAGGAACCAAGGTCTCTCTGAGCCAGATCTGAGATCTGTGGGGTTTGATGACGGTCAAAGAACTGAACTAGATAGTTATGGGAAACCTATCACCAGTGAGATCCCCCCAAATGAATCGCTTCAGGCAAGAGCAGCTCGGATATTGGGTATAGAGGTAGCTGTGGAGTCCCTCATTCCTGACAACAGCACTCTTCAGGGTGAACACTCTCACTCTGACAATGTCCCCCAGAGCCTTGAATTGCCAGAAGAAAGCGTGTCAGAGGGCAAGGTGGAAGCAAAAGTATCTTCTTACGAAGGAAGACGAAAGTGTGGCTGGACAGAAAGCTCCCTCTTCGTTGGAGACAGAAACATCTCATTGGGGTCTATTGAAGATCAGCCTTCCGGTCAAGCAGTTTTGATAGCTGAACAATGTTTTGAGCACCATGGAGGTCTTGGTAGACCCAAAGCTGACCAGACTCCCTCTCCCGAGTCTGTTGTGCTTCCATTTGCTGAAAGAAATATGGTTCCACCTGGTGTGGAAAAGAGAGCTAGATGCACTTCAAAGGTGATTGAGACCTTGCAAGGCAAACTTGCATCAGCCCCTAGCCGAGCTGCCATGGACCGTTTGGTGAGGATGAAAGAAGTTGACTCGGTCTCTCGTATGAGACGTCTAAGCATAAAAAATGCAGATTCAGTGGAGGATGGAGATGAGGATAAGCAGCTAAAAGGACCAGAGGAAAGAGGAAGCGACATTTCCTTTGGCCGCAATGAATTGCCCCGCAAACTGTCCCACGGGAGTTCCGTTTCCAAGCGCATCATCTCATTGGCTGAAAATGGGCTTTGGGACAACGTGAGTGAGAAGAAAACTGGAAGGGATTTAGTTTCTTTAGGTAAGACCAAAATTCCTCCAGGGTTTTTGTGGTCAGCACTTTTGCTGGGTGATGATGCCTATACACTTCCTCTGAAGCCTCCTTGAAAAGAAAGAGCATTTTCCTGTACCATCTCAAATATAAACTTTGCAGCTGCCATTTAATTGCAAGCAAGTGTACAAGCAGAAAAAGCTGCCAGTGGGTTCCTAGTAAAATCCATGCCTGGTATGTTGTTTGATATGCACTGTTGGGAAAAATACGACACTTTTAATGCTGCCCAAAGGGAGGGAAGTGAACTTCGAAGATCTGCAAAAAAATAAAAAATAAAAGTTGTATATTTTAAGTGAATGGATAACCAGCTACGTAGGTACTGCAGAGGAATAATTGCATGTGATCTGAAATATGGGCTGGGTCTCCTTCCTCCCCAAGTGGTCTCCTCACTTCAGAAGACACTTAATCATGTTACAGCATAACTTCTAAGGTGACTATACATAGCACCTATAATTTTTTAAATGAAAGACTCTCTTTCCTTGGAGGTTTTTAAGCAGACATTGGATAGCCATCTGTCATGTATGCTTTGAAATTCCTGCATTGCAGGGGGTTGGACTTGATGACCCTTGGGGTCCTTTCCAACTCTACAATTTTATGATTATACGTTATGAAAAAGCCACCAATATCTGTGGTCTTAAGAATTCTCCAAATTGTCAGAACACCCTTCCGTTCTGCCACCCTTATCAACAGGCAAGCTGGTTTTTACCCATTTTTCTAAGCGGCCCAAATCTCTTGTTATTAATTTCATTTCTTATATTTCTAGGCCGCTTTTCACTTGCATGAGTCACAAAGTGGCTCGCAAACAATAAATAACAAAAACATAATAGACCATCACAGTTACAACACAAATCATATAAAATAATGCACAAATCATCAGTAAAACAACCACCTTCTATAAAAACACTCTTAAGAAAACAACTTTAAAAATAGGCTAAACAGCACAACCACAAGTAAAGTTCATCAAAAGAAACACAAACATAATTTCAGAAAGCAACTGCTTTCTGAAAGCTCCAAGAGCTGGAAGGTGGGGCAAGGCAGGTGGGAAAATCCCTTGTCTGGTCAACAGAGAGTCCCATTCCCCTTACAGTTCTTCCTCTGGAAACAGCTCCCTTAGGAAGGCTCACATGAAGTACATATTGATTCAGCGAAACACTTTATTCCCCCTCTTGAATTTTAGGTAGGGTGTGCAGCTAAAAAGTTCATGAGTCCACTCTGAGAATATGATGCTACATGGGCCTTTAGCCTGATCCAGTAAAGTTCTTCCTATTCTGTCCCCAGGAGAAGTCGTCCTCTTTCCTCCTCCAAAGTTCTGTATCCTGCACCATTACCAATTTGTGTTGGACCAATAACATGGACCGGTTATCTCAGTTTCCCTCATTTCCCTTTTCCATGCTTGGAATCCTGAAGTCAACCTGGCTGTGCCATAAGAGAGCACTCCTTTTGCAGTGGCAGGGCTCCAGTTTGGCTGGAATGCCCTGCTACAATCAATCTGCAGGGCACACACAGTTGCTTTTCTGTCTGCAGTCGTACCGTGGTTTTCGAACAGCTTAGTTCTTGAACGTTTTGGCTCCTGAATGCCGCAAACCTGGAAGTGACTGTTCTGGTTTGTGAACTATTTTTGGAAGCCAAAAATCCAACGGGGCATCTGCCACTTCCAATTGGCTGCAGGAGCTTCCTGCAGCCAATCGGAAGCTGCGCTTTGGTTTCCAAACATTTTGGAAGTCAAATGGACTTCTGGAACGGATTCCATTCTACTTCCAAGGTACAACTGTATTAGCTGTCTGCATTTATGTGACTGTTGGCATTCTGCATCAGTATGTAGAAAATGCTGAAAATATCAACATCATGGGAGGTAGGCTGTCGTCGTCGTCGTCCCCCCCCCCCCAACATTTCTAAAACATGATGAATTTGTGAAGTTCCTTTCTTTGTAGTGGTTGGAGCTGAGGACAAAATTATTTCATGGTAGTGAGAAACAGAGAGAAAATATATCCGAGTGGCTTATGAAAGCTGCTGCTTGCCCTCTGTCAAAGCTCAATATCCAAATAACGAGTGGATCTGGAAATCTTTACTTAGGTAAATTATTCCTTGTAAGGCTTTCTCTATCTACAAGGATATGGAAGTCATTATCCTCCAAAACATAAAGTATTCTGTATAGTCTCATTTATCTGTTTATATTTCTTGAGTTACATTTTGATGGCAGCTGTGTGGATAGGGAGTAGTGAATTCTGATTTGAATGAAAAAAAATGTTAGCTTTCTGTTCATTTTTATTTTTTTTAAAAAAACCCATCTCATAGTATTAAAATAGGCAGGTGCATAGATTAAAGCCAAACTAGAAATGGAGGAGAAGCTCATTTCAGTTCTCATTTTAATACAGAATAAACTAATTCTCAATCCCCCAACAATACATGAACCAAAACACAGTTTTCCTTTTAGATTCACACTGCTCTGAATTTCATAGTTCAGTTTTTCTCCCAAGTAATGTCTACAAAAAATTCATAGGGGAAAGTGTAAATAAAATTCATCTTTGGTGAAGAAAAATTGCTTGCAAATGTGTACATTTTTGGCATACAACGGTATGTATATCTGATGAATTCTCAGGGCATTTAAAAATAAAAAAAATTAAACTGAAATGAAGAATGGGAAAATGAGAGATGGAGAAAACCAAAACTGACTGACTGATTCATCCAACCTTAAGCCAGGATCACACAACTGACTCCCTGCTTCATGGAGAGTTCTGTGCAACTTTGAAAGCTTCCTATGTTTATTATTATTATTATTATTATTATTATTATTATTATTTCTGTGTTTTCCATTTACACATCATTTTGCCTATGTTATAGCCAATAAGTGATATGCTGTCAACAAAAGCTATCTCTTGAAACAATTTTGAAGCCTTAGGAACCACATGGCAAACATATTCTGTTCTTTCACAAGACCCAGTGAACAGAGCACCACAGCCCATATTTAATAATACTGAGAGCTGATGTGGTCCAGTGGTTGGAGTTTCAAGTCCTACTGTACCATTTAACTTAATGGGTATCCCTGGACAATATGTGGTCTTTGCGACTTAGCCTGTAAAATGTGATGGCCACCATATGGGATTGCTGATAGAACAAGCAGTGTAAAAATTGTCAGAAAGTCTATTTTAAAAGAGGAGGAGGAGGAGCCATTCTTCTTCTTTTTCTTCCTGGAATCCTGTGTGTGTAACCTGTTTTGTCACCAGCTGGGAAGGAATTAGCCTGCAGTCTCCATCTTAGGCTCAAGCTGTAAGTGGAGCTCATGGCTCTAACATGCAGCCTAATTTTCCTCCCCATTTTTGTTTGTTGTTTCTCCTCATCCCACCACCCCTGAACTCAGGTGCAGGGAATCTTTAGCTCTCCAGATGGTTCTGAATTACAACTGTAGTCATAGCTGGCCACGCTTGCTGGGGCTGATGGGAGCTGCAGTTCAGCAACATCTGGAGGACCAAATGTTCCCCATACCTTCCCGAACCTCTGTGACCTCTTTGCCTGCTGTAGAGTCCTGAAAACTCAAAAGCTTGCCACATTAGGACCACCTTACCCAACTGCGGTGGGCTTTGGTGTTTTAAATGAGTTGACCATGCGGCATTCCAGTTGAAGCCTGAGAGATCTGCATTAACGGAAAAAGTGGACTATTATAATAAATTGCTGGTAATAATCATGGCTGCCTTTCCTATTTTGCAGATGCCTACGATCCCACCAGAGTTGAAAGGGTGTGATGTGGAAAAGACACGAGTCTCAGGAGATGTCTGCCTTCCGCAAATGTTTTGCTGGTTTCCAACACAGGGAAATAGCTTTAAGCTTCCTACAAGCAGTGACTTCAGAGTGTACTGACAAAGCCCTCGTCTCTGCCAGTGGGGGAAATAAGTAGTTCATATCCCACAGCTTTACGGAGCTTGCATGAAAGTGAGTGAGAGAGAGAGAGAGAGTGCACAAAAACCTCTCACTTTGGAACCATCTGTTTTTTGTAGCATTAGGCCTTAATGCCTCTACTTGGCATGGGTTGGTCATTTTTAAAACTCTGCTGAGCCCTGTTCAGGCAGGATGGTAAACAGGATGAAGATGGGAGGGGTGTGAGGGGAAGCTGGCTTTTGCTCTGTGTAAAATGTAAACAGGGGAGATTAGCAAAATGATTTTTGAAAGAATGTGAATTTTCTGAGCTTAAACCTCCGAACCTCTGCACCCTCAGCTTTGTTTAACTTTGGTCTTCGTAAAGCAGGCAGCCAGCTGAGGGGGGTGAGTGCCGAAGGGGATGAAGACTGATGGACTGGCTGTGAAATCAGCTTGGACTTCTACCATTTGAAGGGGCTTTGCTTTTCAATTTCCTTACCTGGCATCTGCAACCAAACAAACACAAAAAATGCCCCCTCCCCTCTCTCACACAAATCTAAAACAAAACAAAGTCAAGGCATTGTTTTACATGTAATTACAACCTGTGCAGCCTCTGCCCCCAATTTACTGTTTCAAACCACCCTGGCTACTGTTTTGCACTCACTATTATGAAGTTTGTTCTATTTTTTCCCCCTCCCGTGGTTATGTTTTTGTAGATTGAACTAGAAACTCTTCGTATGACCCAATTGCTGGTTTGATAGAGCAGATCCTTGTAACAAGGCAACTTTTTAACAGAATGTGATCTCTATTTTTCTACAGTATTAAGCAATTTGTTAACCGTTGGTGAGCAAGTTAAGATATGGGGTGTCCGCCCCCCCTTAAGCTGACAGGCTGTTCAGAGGAGCTAGCAAAGAAGCGTTTACTTTTTATATCTAGTGCACATTCCACACCATCCTGTTCACAGCTGCAACTCTCTCTGTTGTAAAAAAAAGAGGTATGTGCATATGTGTATATATATCTCCTATAAAGCAAATATGTATGTTTTTAGAAAGGCCAAAGTTTTTATTTTCTTATTGGTTAGATCACTGCTTCTAAGGACCCAACAGGGGCACCAATATTGCAGACTTGAAGAATTGCACATTTATGAACGGAGTGAGTCAGAGTCTGTTGTGTCTTCCTTAGTTCTTGGGGAGGGGGTCCTGTCTCATCCTTTAACTTCAGGATATCGAGGGTGCTGCTTCACACCTGTCTTCAAGTTGCCCGTGGCACATAGGAAGTCACACAAGAAGATGCAACTTTACCCATTTGGTCTTTGGCTGGTACTGATGTGCTGCAAAGGGGTTAAGGGAGCACCAGCCCGTGTGTCCAGGGTCAAGTCCATGCTGGGGCTCTTAGACCAGATCTTATAAGCAACTCATAGCACTGGGCTGTCACACTCTATGCATCTGGATTTTTATATTTCCCACTCATTTTGTTTTTTTAAATGATAGTTCTTGTGGCCACACATAGACCTACTGTTGCCAATCTTTGAAAACATTCCCTTCTCAAAATATTCCAAGTGTATTTTAAGAGAACCTTGTACATTCCCCTGGGATTACAGCTGATTTAACCTGTACAACATGTATTTATATATAGATATACTTTTAAATATCTGTTTTTGTTTGCTAACACACTTCTCAGTCCCCCCCCCTTTCTGTTTGTATTGGGCGTTTTATATGCTTTTGCCCCTCCCCACCTCTTAAAGCCATGTTATCTGTTAAGCATATCAAATTCCTAGTATCTTATTTTTGGGAGAACGGTCCTATTTGACCAAATATACAAATAACCCACCTCTTGTGCTTTGGCAATCACAATTGCTTATCTGTAATGCCTGATTCTATTACATAGAATCTTTATTAAATATTTAAAGTTTCTTATACATCTAAACAAGATGGTTGTGCGGTTTCCTTTATTGGAACATGTGGATTTTCTTTCTTCTACAGTTGTGGGTGGCCTGCAGCTCTTCACCCTTTGGGTCCTTCAAAAACTTTGATATAATAGTTCCTTAGGAAAAGAGAACAATCTGTTCAGCAGCAGCAAGTTAATGGTTCCTGAAACAAATGGATAAATATTGTCAGGTAGCCGATTTAATTTACAAATTTCATATTCTTTAGAAGCTGCTCTTTGTTGTAAAATATTGTGCAAGAATGGTTTGCAAAATAAGTAATAAAAGCTCAGCAACAACATCTTTTTTTAAAAAATAGAATTTTCCACATATCTATTCAGAAATAAGTCAATGGGACTTACTCACAGGTAAGTGCATATAGGAGTCCAGCCTCTGTAAAATAGCAACTGCAGTGGACAGTATAAACTGTTATAGAACAGTAAAACGAGGCACAGGAAGACAGGGAACCTGTCAGATCTTGCCAGGAAGAACAGAACAGTCCACAACTGTGACACTAAGTCCCCCAGCTGTATTTCCCATGGTGGTGGAACAGAGCTTCTAAAGCCAGTTATATGCCTCAGTTGGGTTCATATGGGTGAAAGCGGTCCTTATGGAAAATTAAGGTCATTCAAAAGTGCATACATTATGACTTGAAACGTGATTGAGCCCAAATCTGAGACACCATCTTCCGGTTCTGAAATCCCATGCTAGTCATGTCACCTGCATGAGATTGTGGACTTGAAAAAAACACTTTTTCGGGCATGGTGCAATATTGCAGACCCGAATTAAACACTCTTTCAAGGCAAAAACTCAGCCTGATATTGTGTGAGAGCAAGGTACCCCAAATGGTTGCCGTGCTCTCATGGGGGGTGGGGGGATATGTCCCATTTTTTCTTCGGTACAGTTGGGTATGATATATATTTAATCATTTTGGCAACATATACAGTGGTACCTAGGGTTAAGTACTTAATTCGTTCCGGAGGTCCATTCTTAACCTGAAACTGTTCTTAACCTGAAGCACCACTTTAGCTAATGGGGCCTCCCGCTGCCACCACGCCCCTGGAGCATGATTTCTATTCTCATCCTGAAGCAAAGTTCTTAACCTGAGGTACTATTTCTGGGTTAGCGGAGTCTGTAATCTGAAGCGCCTGTAACCTGAAGTGTCTATAACCCAAGGTAGCACTGTACTAGCAAATGTAATCTACCATATTAAGGCGACTTACCAATTTACTGGCATATCTCTGAATTTTCAGACGTTCACAAATTTTGGGCTTTATGACATTCACAGTAGCACACATCCTGGAAACTAGTTTGCTAAACTTGCTGAGAATTTTAACCCTGGGGTAAACTGCAGTTCCCAACATTCTTAGGTGTGTGTGTTTTTAATGAATAGTGTTTACATAGCCATAGATTCATGAGTGACAGCACAGACCATATGTCAGTAGGAGAGAGAATGACAAGTTAATGCCTGTTTAGTCCACAGATATTGGCTAAACTTATGGAGCAGTTGAGGAAAAGCAGACACTTATTGCTAATTGCTGTTATTCATGCGATTGCCCGCTAAGTCTCTCTGTAGGGGAGTGGAACAAATGCTGCATACCACAATTGTTCATTTTCAGATTGCTAGGAGAGTCCCGTCTCCCACCCTGTTTGAGCAATGTGTTGGCAACGCAGCTTGGAGAATTACATGTGAGCACATGGGCGAAGGAGGAAGAGATTAGGCAAATTCCACACTCGTATTGACCAACACATGGCGGAGATTAGAAATAAAAATGAAATCCTCCAGCCAAGGAAACCACAATAATATGCTGCTTATGAAACAAACGAAGAAATTTCCATCCTAGACAGCAGAAAACTCTGTCTTCATGCTGGAAGCCTGTTGGTGAGAATAACCAGACCCATCCCAGGAGGAACAGCTGAGCTCAGAGAAGACAAGAGCATGGAAACACTAGGTAGCATCTTGACGAGTCCCCAAGATGATATAGTTAAGCAAAGCTGGTGATTTTTCTAGAGAGACCCTGTGACTGATTTCTACTGCCAGAAATAAAAGGTTTTATTCAAGGCAGACCAACCTAGAAGGGAAAGGAAGAAAGAAAGGATAAGCAATCACACAGGGCTATGGATAATACCATAAAATTGATTCTTTGCATGCTTCCTTTTATGGTCAGGCAATATCTGAAAAGGACTATCTTTGCTGGGTAATGTTAGAAGTGGCAACAGCTCTGTTTCCCTTCCTTCCAAGCTGACACTTCATCCCTGCCCCTTCTCAGTGAACTAGCTCCTTCCAATGCCAGGAGTTAAAAGCAGCAGATTTTGTTATTGTTGTTTGATTCTCTGCTCTGGAGGGTGAGGACAGCTTAATGGCTCTGCAACTCCTGGCAGATAAGGGCCTGCACTATGGAGGCTGTCTTGGCAGATTTGAGGTTTGAGGTCCAACTGCAATTCCTGCAAGCAGGAAAGGCTAGGAGAGAAGTCTAAAAACTCCTTCGGAAAACAAGTACTGGTGAGGCGTGGTGGGGATATTGTCATGAAAGATGCATTTGATTTATTTACTTGATTTCCAAGGAGCTCAAGGTGGCATCCATAGGTTTTCTCTTCCCCACTTCATTCTCACAACAACCCTGTGAGGTAGCTTGGGCTAAGAGACAGTGACTGGCCCAAGGTCACCCAATAAGCTTCATGGCCATGTGGGGATTTGAACCCTAGTCTCCCAGGTCCTAGTCTGACACTCCATTACACCACACTGACTGTCTCGCTGGGGAAACTGCAGGCTCATGACAAAGCCCCAAGTCCAAGTTGATGTGGCAAGTAGTGGCACAGTAACAAACAGTCCCCAACTACAACTCACAAAAAGGGGTGAGAGAGAAAAGATCCATTTGTCAAGAGAATGGATCTTTTGGTCTCTGCTCTGATAAAGGCAGACTCATTCGCTGAAGGCAGCATGGCTTGTCTATGAAAACAGGGTGACCCCCAAGCACAACATTCAGTCGTGGAGACCTTCTGCCTCCTATTGACCATGGAGAGCATACTGCTCACACCTGCTGGAGACAGAAGACCTGCAGGTAGGGATGCAGGAGAAACACAATTCAATTTGCATGTACAGTAAAGGTGAACTGATTTGCACTTCCCCAAATAATCTGCAATCCAAAACACGGCCATCCTTCACCATTCACACCTCTCTGAATTTTGCGATACAGTTCTCTAGCCAGGTAATGTGTGCAAAAAATTGCATTTACTAGGGTACAGCAGGCAACAAAATGCACATCTAGTGAACATAACATTATATCAGGCCAAAATGCATAGAAAGATTTGTACATTAGGATAAATCCATGCTAAAATGTTGATGAATTTCCCCAAAGACTTTTTAAAATATTGCAAACTGATGTAGAAATGTGGATAACAGAACTTCAGGTTGTAAAAAATGAGAAACAGAGTCACCCATCCTTACTGACAAGCCAGTTTCAGCGTTCCAATATGATCTTCTTTTTTGTATGCGTTTATGGTCTATCTGATGGTGGGAGGCGGTAGTCAGTGGAACAGGCTCCCTTGGAAAGTGGCAGGCTCTCCTTCATTGGAGGTCTTTAAACAGATGTTGAGTGGCCATCTGTCACGGATTCCTGCATTGCAGGACTAGATGATCCTTTGATTCCCTTCCAGCTCTACAATTCTGTGATTCTATGACCTTGATGCAGCAGAGGACATGCAGTTCTGTATCATAAGTAGCAATGCAACAGCGCTAGTTTTCAAGCCAGGCTTCTTTTCTTCTTTTTATAGAGTTCTCTGAAATCTCATAAAAGGGATGCGGGTGGCACTGTGGATTAAACCACAGAGCCTAGGGCTTGCTGATCAGAAGGTTGGTGTTTCGAATCCCCGCGACGGGGTGAGCTCCCATTGCTCGGTCCCTGCTTCTGCCAACCTAGCAGTTTGAAAGCACATCAAAGTGCAAGTAGATAAATAGGTACCGCTCCGGCGGGAAGGTAAATGGTGTTTCTGTGTGCTGCTCTGGTTCACCAGAAGCGGCTTAGTCATGCTGGCCATATGACCTGGAAGCTGTCTGCAGACAAATGCCAGCTCCCTCGGGCAATAAAGTGAGATGAGCGCCGCAACCCCAGAGTTGTCCGCGACTGGACCTAATGGTCAGGGTTCCCTTTACCCTTTCTGAAATCTCATAAACACTTGGCCCATTCATATTGCTTTCCTGCTGGACTTGTCCTCTGTAAATTAGGATCACTGCAACCATCGCTTCCAAGACTTTCACCAGCACCACCACAAAGCCCCTTACAGCATTACGAGAGAGCTGCCGGGTGTCTTTTGGCCACTGTGTGCTTCCCCCTCTCCAGTACAGAAACTAATTTCTTCCCCCTTTTCATTCCAATTTCATTCATGCTTCCCTTGCAGCAAAGCAGACACCCATCCATCCTGTTCATGGGAGTGGCATATCAGATTGACTAGGCTTGGACTGAGGCCAGCATAGATAAAGCTATTGATAACAAAGAATAATTTTCCTGCTATCCGGAAAGGCCGCAAGCTATTCAGTGAAGATACTTGTTCTTGTCTCACCCATTCAAACATGACATGGGATGGGGAATTGGACCACCCACTGGCGCCCATCTGTCAATCACCTGGCATCATATGATGTCAGATGATTCTGAGCTCAAGTTACAGCTTGAATTGTGCCCTATTTTGTGTGCTTAACATGGTAGCTGGTACTATTTAGAGCAGACCCATTGGAATTAATGGGTATGGCTAATTTAGGTTCTGTTCAGAGGATCTATTCTGTATAGAACTAACACTGGGTGTAACCTCATGATTATTCACTTAGATATTTGTCTTTCTCTTCATTCTAGGTCAGGGAGTCATGTTTATATGAACTTTCTCTAAACTACGATTAAGGAGAACATAAATAGCATAGCTCAGCTTTATAACTGTTTAGAGAAGATGGACTATATATAATGATATATTAACATTTAGCTTTACAAAATATGCAAGACGAGCATAGATAAGG